AATTGAGGTTACGGTAAGGCCCCTGAAGTAATTGACAAATGTGAATCTTACAGTGTAAGTTTATAAAAGCGCTTATATTACTTATTGGTAACATTTTATTAAAGCTAACGGTATTATTTAAGCTTGGTATCCAACACCTTATTGAATATACCTACTTGGATATAATGCAACAAAATTGGATATAACTGCACACAGGAAAAACAAAAACACCCCTTTTACTTCCATTGTAAGTGCCTCAGATCATTTTGGGCCAAATTTTGATAAAATATAAGAAAAAGGTTAATGTCACATTCAAACCAAGCACCTGTCTGTCAGTCAACAGTACAAATTTTGCATTGACAATTGAATCTGATGCAAAGCTTTCGCACAGAATTCCTGATTGTGTGGATCACTATTATTCAAAGTCAAGTAGATTCCTATTGAGATTAAAGGCAAAAAATTAATTTTGGTAGTGATCAACATCAAGCCCTAAATGCTGTCAGATGAATTTAACTTGTAGAGAACCTTAAATATTGTAGAAATTCACTTCACAACAATACTTGAAATATTCAAGGGGTAACACTTGCATATAACAACAAAAACATTTTAAAAAGACACTATGCAATAAAAAAAAAAATCAGACTTCACATGATATTCTTGGTCTCAAACACCTAATTAGATATAACAAAATTAGATATAACTTTACACTGAAAAACACTGTAGAGCCAAATTTCGAAAAAGTCAAACAAAGGTCATAGCCTCACATCAGACTGCACATGATGTACTCGGTTTAAATCTGAACGGCCTCCAGTGAAAATACAACCATCCCACCTTTTCTGTATTTACATACTTTGTGTTGAATTGAGGAAATTTCTCCTAAACAGACAGAGAATTGTTATGTAACGCTCTATGGTGCTGTAAATAACATTTACACTTCACAGATGCCAAAGCGACTAACAAATGGCCTAAATACAGTATAATACGATGTCATATATCCTCAGGTGTATGACATCCTAAACTTATTTTAATATATTTATGTTAATAAAAGCAATAGTTGTTCCGGCACCAGAAGTGTTACTTTCACAAACAGGCTCAAGTTTCCTTTGAACAGCGAACTGTTTAGCTCACAGAAAATGTGTTCCAGGTGTTCATGTCAATATAGATTTTCTGCAGTCTTGTTGTGTGCTGTTTGACATGAGAGATCATACAGCTTTGAGATGTTTGAATATGGATAAGCTGAATTTCGTCATGTACTCTTTGACATATTACCAATGAATCTGTCCTGTTTCTTTGTTTGTATGTCAAGCCAACCGATAACTTGCATTAATTTTCCACTGCATTTTAACTTATTTTTCAGTCAGGATACGGTATATATAACATTATATCATCTGCAATTTGTAGCAGATGATAACTGAGAGAGGGTACCAATTTTTGAGTAATTTGAAAGTTGAAATTATTACTTTGGAACAATTGCTCCCCTGCATATATATATATATATATATATATATATATATATATATATATATATATATATATATGCATATATATATATATATATATATATATATATATATATATATATATATATATACGTTTTGCTTTTATAATCAGTCATAGAATAAGAGAAGTGCACTTAATGTTCTAGCAGACGCAACATAATGCATAAGCAAAACCTGTTTAAATGACAAGTGGGGCCACAACAAAGCAAATAATATTGAAAAAAAATATATAGCAAGCATGCAGAGCATTGCCAATCTTATTGCTTTCTCACATTCATAATTCAACAGTAACTTACCAAATCAGATGTGCTTTTATCAGATGAATCAGCTGCTTAACCTGAAACAATATAAACAGTTCAATGTAACAGTGTAGTAGCCTATATCTTATCATTGTCTATGCTTATACACATTATCTGATAGGCTTTTCACACTTTAAATCATCTGTTAATGTAATCCTTGGTTAACTAGTTCCACTTCTCACTTCTTAATCATAATTTACCACGAGTTAGTAATTAGCTAATCCTCCAGATATTACGAGTTCATAGCCTATGGTTCATACTGTAGCCTACGTTTGTAAACACTGACCTGTTTACCGTTCTTATCTTCATATTTTGGCGACTTGTTTTAATAACACCAAAAAAGTCGTGATGTAAATTAGCTCTGGTTGTGTTTTGACACATAAAGCAAACATTAACTTCAGTTAACGGTTTCTCCATCGTTGGTATATTTATTTTAAATAAACTGCAGCGAGGGAAAGTTCCTCAGACTGTGGACGCTCATGAATATTTAATAGATAAACGCTGAGGCTGATTATGATTGGCTGGTAGTCGATTGGTTGCCATGTTACAGTGTTTTACAGTTTTTTTCAATCGCTTTTATATATTTATCGAATCATCCTTAGAAATTTTCAAAACAACTTGTGCATTTCTCAAAACAATTCGTACAAATACTAGCAAAACACCATGGATTACGTGCAAAAGCCAGTCTCTTGCTCCTTTGTTCATCTCTCAAAGAACATCTCAGTGCCATCAGAATGACCTTCTGTCCTTGTGTACGAATAAGACTGCTATAGTCATGTTTTCAATAACAGTGTACTCTGGATGGATGTTCTGATGTCCACTAAAGTTTTGAAGGCAATTATTGAAAATTGTAGGTTACACCTAGTGTAGGCTATGTGGGAGTTTGAGAATTTCCATTCTGATCTGAGAAATGTACCAACGCTACTGAGAAAAACTGTAAAGATGTGAAACCATGTGAAATTTGTACTGCTAAGAAAATGTTTACAGTTTTGGGCATCTTACAATATGAACATTATGATGTGTGTGATTGTTTTGTAAATAAATTATATTATGTTTAGTTAGCTGTCTATTCTGTTTTGAATTTTCTGCATAATATATGTATATTGTTGCCTGTTTCTGCTCAAAGTTTGTCCTGAAAGTTATAACAGCTCGTGTAAATAATTGGAGAAGAGATTAATAAATTATGGTAACGCATCACATCAAACATCAGAATCTTTCTCTCTCATTTAATTCCAATGCTGGAAAGGCCAAAATATTGAAATAAACAAAGCATTTGCTGATGCATCTGTGTATAAGCATGCATCAATAATACGTTTAAGACTATGGCATGCACAAATTGCATTATGTATATGCCAAGGGTCATGTTGTACAATTTGAGACTGCATAAGCAAATCATTTTACATGCAAGTACCGCACTAAAGCAGCATTAATTCTTGTCAATCACAATGACAAACTTAATTCATTTAGAACATTGAAGAACTGACAGATGTAAAACATTCAGTCATCTGACTTTGATTGAAAGCTCTTCTCTCTGGACGTCTGGAGGCCATCTTTCCGGGCTCCGATCCAAGAAGCAACATCTGGCCCTATTCATCTCTTGCTGCGATTGCTTTGGTTCTGACACATGTCCTCATGCTGACAGGAACACACTCTACGGTTTCAGCTTGTGTGACAGGCCTCTGGTCCTGGTCCCGCTGACACTCACAGCTTTTGTTGTTTAAACGGCCATCTTATCCGAGCTTTGATCATGGCGCTGAAACATTCCAGCATGTTTACTGCAGAGAACAATGCCGTTTAAATATTCATGTCAGCTGTCTGGTCAGTTTTAGTTCCGCTGTAAGCCATTGTTATGTATGGATGTATGTATGTATGTATGTGTGTGTGTGTGTGTGTGTGTGTGTGGGGGGGTGGGTGGGTGGGTGGGTGGGTGGATGGATGGATGGATGGATGGATGGATGGATGGATGGAACGATGGATGGATGGAACGATGGATGGATGGATGGATGGATGGATGGATGGATGGATGGATGGATGGATGGAACGATGGATGGATGGAACGATGGATGGATGGATGGATGGATGGATGGATGGATGGATGGAACGATGGATGGATGGATGGATGGATGGATGGATGGAACGATGGATGGATGGATGGATGGATGGATGGATGGATGGATGGATGGATGGATAGATGGATAGATGGATAGATGGATAGATAGATAGATAGATAGATGATAGATAGATAGATAGATAGATAGATAGATAGATAGATAGATAGATAGATAGATAGATAGATAGATTGATTGATTGATTGTGACTGCTGACCTTGATGACAGAAAGAAAGCTTTATTCACAAGTTGTTTTCACAGCAACAGATTAAAACTTGAAACATGAGAGAAATAAAAAAGAGATAAATGGGGCAATATATCTGAGTCTTCTACCAAGTACACGATGTAGTAAGTTATCTGAAATGCAAGGCCTCAGATAACTACCGAGCACAGGTCCATATATGCCATAAGGAACCTGCTTGAAAGTCCACCCTAAACCTACAATCTTAAACAGTTCACATTCTCAAGAAGGAATTTATAGAGGACTTTGCCCTCCTTCTAATCCCCCTGTCAAAAGAATCATATATTGAGTAACAATAAATAATGTAGAGTCTCTGTTTTCAGTACATACAAAAAAAAAAAATATTGATTTACACACATACCTGTATATGTATGTCAAAAACCAAATGTATCTTATGATTAAAAGTAACTCATGTAAGATTAACGAAATGAATCATGTATAAGCAGCGTTATCTATTACCAGCTGTCTTTCATTCACTCTCACTTGTTAGTAATGTTAAACATAGGGTGGGGGGTGCTAAGCTGCTCAAATGCGCCTACTTGGTTATGGATGGCTTCCTGAGGAAACAACATGAGCAGAGGGGGATTCTTGCCACAATAATCCACTTTCATGGATCTTGGAATGATCAGATGCTTGACAGACAGTGTGCATTACAATTGCATTGCTCAAAGCACACTGAGAAGTGGTTTGAAACACATTGTGCAAGTGGGTGAGCTGAAAACATCTGTTTATTGAAGTTGCATAAGTCATCATTACTCCACCCTAATTGAATTTGTCAGTAACTTACTCATAACGGATGACAGAACAGTTAAAAATGTTTGCGGCTGCAATGCCAACACAAGATTAAAACTCAGAAAAACACAAGACAACACCAATAACTCAAAGTCGTGCTTTTATACACACAAATCCATATAACAAGGACATTCTGTGGCAACATCACAAAAAGGCACCAGGAAATTAGCTTCCTCGGATTTGTTTGCAACAAGGGGAAAGTATTAAGCTACAGATCAGATTTTTATCTGACAGAAACAGAAAACAGAGACAAATTTATGTGGTCAAATGTAAGGACAATCTGGATTATCCGGATATTAAAGTTATTATCCGGATATGAGTGGCTGCATGTCAATGGGTCTTTGCTAATAGAAAAGCACATGAGAACCGGGTGGATTTTCAATTTAAAGTTGAAGTCGAGTTCTAGTCCTTGTCCTTGAAGCAAGCTTATCCACTTGTGTTTGTCTCCATCTATTGGCTAAAGCGTGTCAGTACAAGCAGTCAACAAAATACGTTTATTAGAAGTAGGCCTACATTTTAAAAAAAACAACATTCAATAAACATACAGCTGTTTCAGATAAAGCTCTACTGTCCACAAAAGGATGCAATAGTCTTAAGGCAAATAATTTATGAAGTGAACCCATTGTTATCAAAGTAAATGGTGATATTTCGTCATGAATATACATTTGATCTACAAACACATGAAAGATTAAATATATTATCTAAACTAATGGGATGGTTAAATGCATATTTTAAAATCAGCTCTGATGAGAGACAGCTAATTTGCACAATGTATTACCAACATTTTAAAATATGCATTAGCATCTATCATTAGCATAAAGCAATTTGATGACATGTGGTAATCAGTACAGAAAACAAGAATGTAACAATACATTTTTTGTCTTTTTTCAAACCATTTTTTCCCCAAAGGACATTGAAATTCGAAAAAGGCCAACGTTGCTGTGGCAACTACATTAAGATTTTGCAGCTGTGATTAGTACTGCAAATGCAATGATGGAATAGTGCTCATTCTGGGAATTCATCAGTTCAATGAAAGTAAAATCCAGTAAACATAATATTCAGCCAATCTGCCTGATGGATATCATTAAGGTTCAAAAAGCTACTTCATTTTTTTTTTTCATCTAAAATGAAGTGTAAAACAATTGACATGATTTGCATTAAATGGTTTAGGATTTGCAAACAGATTTACAATTCAATAACAACTGATGAACAGATCCACAGATTTAAAATAAGACACTTGAGTCCTATTTGGCATAATATAACAAAATATAAAGACTACAGACATGCTTTCCACTCTGTTTTAAGACATTACGCCATTTTCCCCCCAGAATATGAACACCAACACTACCTGAAACTTGCTAAACATAGCCCTATCCACAAGCTACATATATTTTATAGGAAAATATAATAATAAATGTTCTTCAACCCATTTTTGATGTTGGTCCAGTGTATTTTTGTGCCCATAAGCAGGTTCCCACACCTGTTCGAGTTCTAGCAGCACATTACATACATTTAATAAGAGCAAATAAAAACAAATATGTGGTTCATAAAAAAATATTTTGTTATATGATGATAGCACAATTTATTAAAAGTAAAAAAAAAATGTCATTTCTAACTGCCTCCTTGCATCTAAATGACCACAGTGCACTATTTTAAAGCTGTTAGGATCGTAAGGAGGCAACAACAATAGCAACATTTGTCTAAAATGTGGCAAATGAAAGATAATAAAGCCCTCACGTAGATTTGGTCATGCAGTTTTAAATGGGCACAGTAGTAAGGCCGTGTGTGTGTGTGTGTATGCATTGGAGCGTCAGGAAAGGCATACTGTATATATACGTTTCCAAGCATCAGTACGGGTCCAGTTTAATTCGCCTGTGCAGGCAACAGGTGAACACCATTCCACATATCTGAAACACACACAGACAGAAACATGTGATCAAAGAAACATTAAAAAGATGATGTTTGGTCCTAGTTAAGATGTGGTGGACATCTGTCTGGTCAAATGCTCAAAATAATTGGAACAGAATGAGATACTGGGCAGGCATCAAGCAGCAGTACATTTCATAAAAAGAGCCCCAACAATAATAGATGTTCAGTATTTTTTTTTTTCTAGTTGATCCAGACATGGTCTGATGTGGCCTTGAGGCAATTGTTGAAACTCTCTTTATAAAAGGCTTGAAGGAAGAGGGAAGAGGTGTACAGTTACTATGGAAACCGAGGTGTACGGCAGCCGGTAGCAGTGTTGTTGTAATTGGGTCAATTAGCATGTGTGGGAGTGTGTGTGCACGTGTTTGTACGGAGACTACAGTGTGTATCAGAACAGTGGTAACTCTCAAAATGAAGAGAGGATACACATTTGAGATTCACACAGGTGAGTTCTGAGTCTGTGCATTCCTTGTTGTAATGTTTAGGAGATAAAAATATAAGGCTGCAATTTTATAAACTCAGTCTGCAAGTTACAAAACATTATCTAAAAATATATAGCGTTTCAACATCTAGGTTTTTTTTTGTGTCTATCTCTATGGAAAAAGCAAACCCGAAGACACATCGGAAGCCAGGTCCTGGGAGGGCTTGTGGTGGGCGATTATTTCTACAAAAATGATGGAGCCTCATCCTACCCACAAACACAGAAATAAACCAGAGCTGGAAGTGCAGCTCAACTCAAGTATTTCCTTGCCTTAATAATGTTCTACTTTTATAGGAAAACCATAAACTTTAAATTGGTTAATGTGGGGTTAATTGTAGGGTAAATGAGCAGTCATGGCACATGCAAGGATCTCGGAGTCTGGTTTATGAGTGTTTTTTTGAGGTTTCAAATCAACCTCTGGGAACTGTAAAGTTGGTGTCAATGTGTGGTAGTTTATGGACTAATAATAGGGTTCGATATGTTAGTTTATAACCAAAAATGACTCCAATATAACAAAGTTAAGATTTATTAATATTAGTTTTTCACCTTTTCTATTTAAACCCTACAAAACACTATCATATAATCGCTTAATCATGAATTTTAAGAATATTTTGAAGATATTTCACAGAATGTCAAAGTTGCTCTTTTTCATTCAAAACGAATGGGGACTTTTATTTGTGCTTGGGGTCAATTAATAAAACTGAGTTTAAATCATTGACAAAAGAACCAATGATGTTTAATGTCAACAGGGTCAAAACTGAATGTTTTATAATGCAAATATGCACAATAAATATTAAAAATACAACAAAAAGAGACATTTTCAGCAAATAATGACTAGTGTTCAAAGGTTCAAGACCTGCCAAAAGTCTCTTATGCTCACCAAGGGTGCATTTATTTGGTCAAAAATATAGTAAAAACAGTATTACAATTAAAAATATCTGTTTTCTATTTGAATATATTTTCATTTGTAATTTATTCTTGCAATGAAAAAGCTGAATTTTCAGCATCATTACTCCAGTCTTCAGTGTTGCATGATCCTTCAGAAATCATTTTAATATGCTGATTTGGTTTAAAAGTTTTAAAGAACAGCATTTATTTGAATTATAAATCTTTTGTAACGCTGTAAATGACTTTACTGTCCCTTTTGGTCAATTTAAGCATCATTGCTGAATAAAAATGTAAGTATGTTTCAGAAAAAAAATCTGGCCCCAAACTTTTGAACAGTAGTGTAAATATGCAAATGCGGTCATATTACATTAGCAAATGTAGAATTTAGTGAACAAAATGTATAGACTATATTACGGTGCGTTTATGCCTCTTGTCATTTTTGGATCTTAACAGCATCAATGTGTGGAAAAGAGCACCTTAGAAAATCTACCTTCCTTTGTGCATTTTTCATTTTCAGCTTTAACAAGTTTGGTCTTTCAAGCATCTCTCCTCCATGTCATATAGCACTGAGAGAGAAGCAGTGTTACTGCTCTTTGCCAGCACTTTTAATGCTACTCTAGAGGAAAATAAAGCCGGATGAAAAGTGGGATTAACTGCACCGGAGAAAGGCACGACAGACAGCACACTGTGAGATGAGACTTATATGCAATCAGCAGACCTATACAAAAAAAACCAAGTCTCTTTTTTTCTGAGCAGATATGTTGACACCTTTGAAACTTCTCCTTTCCAACAGTCTGTGTCCACAGGGAGGGATACAATAGACAGGAAGATAAAAGTCTGAAATAGATCGGACACACTGGGAGTCTCACAGCAGGTTTCAGGTAGAAGGTTATATCAGGTCTGCACAGTCCAAGGTGAAAGTTGCTAACTCACAAAAAAGCATTTATAACTGAAACTCTTCAAAAAATATTATCTCAAAATACAAATGATCAACATCAAATGTTTTTCAGTGCCATTAGTTTTGCTCCTTTTTGCCATGCAGCATTCAGCATGTGTGGTTTAAGAGTGCTGGTGTCATGCCAAACACATACACATAAGTCATACAGAAAGCATGGGGTGGACATTAGGTGAGGCACATCGACATGCGCGCGCACACACACACAGCATAAACTCAAACAGCCGACCTTCTCATCGCATAGCGGTTCTGGAGTCAAATATTGGAACTAGCCAATCAAACTTCAGAAAAGTCCTCTTCCTCTTCTTTATAAAGCAGATATATAAAGCAGGCAGTCAGCACTGCTCCTATTAACTACAGGACACACACACACACATAAATGGAGACAAAAAGAAAGAGACAGAGAGAAAGACAACCAAAACCAAGACAAAACAGAGACACACTGTAATTTAAGACAAACATTAAATCCCTGAAATACGGTGTTCGCTTCAGATGAAACAATGCACTGATTCTTTTTAACGTTAAATGCAGCTTAAATGCAGAAGTTAAATGCAGCTTTTTAACTCATAATTAATCATTCAATGTGTTTTATTGGCTCAATTCAAGGCTTTCACTCTGCATAAGATGTTTTTATATTAAATAAATAATCTAATTGCAGAATTAAACAGTATCATCTCATACAATTATACATTAATAAATAATGACCCCTTGATTTCAGTGCATTTTGCTTGATTTCAGCTTGACAAATTTACTACTAATATTACAAAGATTGAGTAGCTTGTAGCTTGGCAAGCAACAGTTTTAAAGTATTTCTTCAACACAAACAATTTGTTCTGTTATGAACCCCTTGCGGAGCGGCACTGTTTACTGCCATAATGACAGTAATAATGAAAGATCATTGAAGAGGATCAATTTAATTAGCGCTCCCTATAGAGAGCTAGTTCAAGCCACTTTGAGGCTTTTTGCAGTAAAATCATTACATCAAATTTAACGCAGGACTTATTTTTAGTCCCCTAATCACTCACGTTTACTGGATGAGATGATCACATGACCAGCAGCTGAGACCTTGATGCTGAAAACGCTGCTCATAAGTCCGTACGGTTACAGTTTTAGGCATCCACTTAAAATAAAACTAGGAAATCTATTAAACAATTTTGACTTACTAAGTGAGACTAACATCCAGTATACTGCGTAGCATGCGATACACAGTACAGGCTGCATCCTACTCACTACATCCCATTTAACACATATGCTGGTTGTTGAATTTCAGATCAATACATATCTGACAGCAAACATTCACTTTCATGTACATATTAAAAAATGATATACCAATATTTAAGCCATGTACTACCCACTAAATAGAAGGTGAACTTAAAAACATAATCTATGGTCATTATACATCACTCCCAGGCAGCTACAAGAATCAATATGAGTTCTTAGCTGGAGTCACATTTCAGTGGTGTTTATATACAGAGTTTATTCAAAGGAAACAGATCGATGGCCCTCGGCACCCCTGCAGTGAATGCAGACGCTCCATGCGAGATCTCCTCTTTAAGCTGAGAGCTCTTATCTCTCTTTCTTTCATTTTCTCAAGCCTGCATGCGGTCTCCACCTATTTTTACCCAGCAGGCAGTGTTCTGTGTAACTACCGTGCACATTACCGGTCGAGGGCAAAAGCAGTCCATTAAACGATTGCCCTCTGGTCAGTGCATCAGCTATTTTAGTGAAGACTTTCGTGTTATTGAACCAGAAGACATCAATGATTGTTACTGTTTCTCTAATTGGACATAAGCATCTCTGTAAAGTATGCAAGTTCTAAATGTTTAGTGGTCAGTAAGTCCCCTCTTTTTTTAAAGAAAAAAATGACATTTATAATATTACACAAGAATTATATCTCGAATAAATGCTGCTCTTTTGAACTTTCTATTCATCAAAAAATAAATTTATTATAAAAATGTATATAACAAAAATATGAATAAAATATATATATAAAATATATATATATAAAATATATATATATATATATATATAATATATATATATATATATATTTTTTTTTTTTTTTTTTTTTTTTTTATCATAATAAGAAATGTTTCTTAAGCCCCAAATCAGCCTATTGAACATATTAGAATGACACAGAAGACTGGAGTAATGGCTGCTGACAATTTAGCTATGCCATCTCAGGAAATAATAATATTTTAAAAAATGGTTCGCTTTTACTGTATTTTTGATCAAATAAATACAGCCTTGGTTAGCTTAAGAGACTTCATTAAAAACATAAAAAAACATACCACACATTTTAACGTTATTTCAGACACACACACACACACACATAAAATGTGTATATATATATATATATATATATATTATGTGTGTGTGCGTGTGTGTGTGTGTTAAGTTGAATTTTCCTTTTTATGTAAACTATCCCTTTAATTGCGCACCCCACCTGAGGGAGAGGGAGGGGCTTACCTGTAGACAGGCCACGCCTATCCCCACAGCTCCAATGATGAGCAAGTGATCCGCCAGGAACTGCTCCAGTTTCGTGATACAGCCGCCCTGTGAGAGACAACAGCATTATAAACTACTTCAGTTCATAAATGTACATATCATGTGCTTGTCTTTTCATTGTCAACATGCATATGCGGATTTATAAATCGATTTATTTTGCAGACTGATAAAGGCTTACAGATGTATGGGTGATGGGAGAATTTTTTAATTGTGTGATTTACAAGACATTGTTGTGAATACCACCACAACGAAAGGCATATAGAATAAAACGAATGGCTCTCGATAGGCCTGTAAAACCAATGTTGTTATGTATTATGTATCACACCGGAGGTCTGTTCCCAAAGAATACATACAGAGAGCTTGGCAGCAGTTCACTGTAGTGTTACCTCACACTTCACAAGCTCATATACTGTATGTTACCAGTCGCTCACAGCTGTGCTTTCATAGTCTAAATGACTCCCAAGAGGGGTATTAAACACTTCATGATGATATGGTTCACAGGCGCATTGTAGTTCCCACAGACAATGAGAAGGCATCTAAGCATGTGGTAGCTTTGCCTCAAACCTCAATACCACAACAGAACATTAATAGAGTTCTGTGTTTTGTAAAGGAAATTAAGTGCAGACGAATACACAAGTATGATAATGCTGAATAAATGTTATGTGGAGGATGATTTGATGTTAACAGTGTCAGACCCACCTCCACCTTGTAGATGTTGGAGGGGTGGTCTCTCTTTCCACACTGAGGCGTGATGGTCTTACAGCAGCTGTCAGGGACAACCCTTTTCTCCGCCTCCGGAGACTTGATGATGTACACGCTGTGCATCCAATCAAGAGAGTTGTTGCTCCCGCAGCACTTGAACTGCAAGGTGAAGGCGAGGGAGTTAGGATTACTTTACAATTAGGATCAGTGCACAAAGTGGTCCTGTATATAATGTATATCTGCACTGTTTTGTTCGTAGTAGTGATTTTGCATGTCGTTTAGGTACAGTATATTGTGTAACTCATTTACATTTTAACATTAACTACATTTTACATTTTAACTGTTAATCGCGATTAATTGCATCCAAAATAAAAGTTTGTGTTTACATAATATATGTGGGCGCACTGTGTATAATTATTTTGTATATATATAAAAATACACACACATGCATGTATATTTAAGAAAAAAAATTATTTATATATAAAATATTTATATTTATATATAATATAAATTATATATAAATCTATATACAGTATATACATGAAAATATTTCTTAAATATATACAAGCATGTGTGTGTATTTATATATAGTATATAAAATAATTATACACAGTGCACCCAAATATATTATGTAAACACAAACTTTTATTTTGGATGCGATTAATCGCAATTAATCGTTTGACAGCCCTAGTTTAAACAAAAATAAATAGCTTATATAATAAAATTTAAAACAATTTAACACAAAATTAAATAAACATTAAATTGACATGTTTAATTCTTTCATTTTATGTATGTTATAACATATAAAATAGGAAAACAAATATAACAAATATATATATATATATATAACAAATATAATAGGAAAAATTAAGTAAAAATGTATTACATTAAAATAAATTAATATTAAATAAAAAACAAATAAAATATGAATATTATTCTTTTTACATGAAATTAAAATATGAAATTAAAACAAAATAAAAAAGATTAAATTAAAACAACATAAAAAGTATTAAATAAAAGCAAAATAAAATACTTATTAAATAAATAAGTATTTAAATATAAATAAGTATAAATAGCTACTAAATAAAGCTATTGCCACTGAATTTTCTACTTCTAGAATTGATTAGGACCATTCACATGCTATTACCATCTAACAAAAATTGAAAAAATGTAATACAATATAAAATGAATTTGCCCAAGCCGCATAATCTTGTCTTTAGTCTCTAATCTAAGAAAATTAAAGGCTGGGATTTGGAGTTTCTCACATCCTGCTGTAGTCTGTCCACAGACTGAGTGATGCTCTCTTTTCCAGGTTGGGCATAGTTCTCTGTCATCGTCTTGCTCAAGTGCTGCTTCAGCTCTTCACTCAGCTGTGACAGAGAGAGAAGAGAAAAAATGGAGAGCAAAGAACAAAAATAAACAGAGAGTAAGCAGAAGGCAGTGTCATCACTCAAATGTCTCATCTGTGCCAGTCCGGTACAGCCCTGCAACTAGATCCATCATAAAAGCAATCGGGAGTTGGTTCTTTAGAGCTTTGTTTTTATAGCAATACTGACTAAAATTTCACTCACCGCCTGGTAATAAACATAAGCCAGAACACCAGCCACCAGCTCAATGATGAAGATCAGAAGCAGACAGGAGAAGTACTGGAAGAACACAGGATACAAATACAATTAATGCAAACAAAATGATCTTTATCAGAAAACAGGAAAACAGTCTCTAGATACACTCAATGCTGATGTCATAACAATCCATGGGAAGCACATATAAAAAAAAACAATTCCTATTATTCTCATTATGTCAGGAAGTCATGAATGTCAAGGGGATGTTTGTTGTTCCACAACTAAAAAAACATATTCATAGAAAAATGAACTGTAAAAATGTACAAACAAATTAATTACATAGTTAACAAAAAAGCATAATAGCATCAAAACAAAATTTAAGACATCTTGAATTTGTTTAACTACTCTAAAAAATGCTGGGTTGTTTTAACCCAATTTTGGGTCAAAAATTGACAAACCCAGCCATTGGGTTGCATTTTTTAAATTACGTTTTTAACCCAATGATTGAGTTTGTCCATATTTGTCCCATAATTGGGTCAAAACAACCCAACGACAGGAGCACCCCAAAATCTGAGAATCTGGAAAATGGCTTCTCTAAAAGACACAGCACATAAACACTCGAAATGCTGCAAAATATAACAATGTTTGGACTGTCATGAGGATAAAGTAAATAAAATAGTTTATTTCAGAAATGTCTCGTTTAGAGCTGGCAGAGGTGGAGACGTCTGCCTGACAAACGGAAATAAAAGACACAGTGGCATTTTCCTCAGAGGAAAATAAAACAATGAATGACTAAACCAAAGAAGCTGTCACAGTTTACAGCGGGGGGAGAGCGAGTGGGTGATAACAACTACAAATCTGCCACAAAACATGTTTTCAGGGAAATATTTTTCGTGGCATAATTAAAAAAACAAACCGACCAACAAACAAAACAATGTTTTCAAGATTTTACATAACTCATACTCACCAAGCCTTTGTGCACACACTGATTTCTATGATAATTGCCAAGTGAGTATTGAAGTTGAACTGAACAGTCTGTTCAACTTTAGTTTCAATCACTATTTAGCAGATTTAAATGAGCAAAGAAGTGAAATGTTCACATCAAATCATGCACAGAGGACACTGTAGACTGAACCACAGACAGACGTGTGTGAGAGATGAATAAACTCACATACACGCCGCACTTCTCTTCTAAAGGTCGAAAGAAAGGACAGGAAGTCCAATGTAATTTATATAAACACCAACACGAGCACTGAAGCAAATGAAATGAACCTATTCAAGGTTATTCAAACAAATCAACCTTAAGCCAGCTGTCGCATGTTGACATTTATGCATATACGTTTTTGTTTTTTTTTTACCAAAATGCAACGCATTCAGATCAGACTAGAAAGGCAGTATCCTCATTACTAATTCCTACCGAGGTTGGCGCTCCACCGTAGATTCATACATGGAAGCGAGAGTGGGCTATAAATAGCACTGCTGCAGTGGCAGTCACAACCTTGCTTGTCTCTTTCACTCCCTCGAACAAACACAAGGTACTATCTTTTTTTTTTTTTTAATTGCGAGAAAGCACATGCCTGTCAGCTCATTAGTCACGGCTCCATGGAGCCTGTTCTACTTTGTCTGTGGACACTTGGCGCCTCCCACCTCAACTTAGAGCCAACAATAACAGAGTTGACCAAAAAAAAGACTAGGATCTAAAGCAATTACATCCAATGAGTGATGCACAATGGATAAATTGGCGCAATTGGCAAAGTTACGACCTCTCAGTGTGGTCTGCATTCATTTCTTCTTCTCACCGTGGAGAGACAGCTCCTCTGCTCACGTATGACGGCACAGCAACCCAAGAACCCGGTGACCATCACCAGCCCCCCGGCCAGGATCAGGATGTAGGCGGATACGGCGAATGTACTGGAGGCCAGAAGGCTCAGGTACTCTCCTTTATCCACCAGCGTCCAGATCCCAACACCCATCACCACCCCGCCGCCCATCTGAAAGACAGAATAACTCATCACAGGATATCATAGTGCTCCTGCCAATACACGAAGTTCAAAAAGGGACAAATAAAATGAAACCAACCTTTTAGAACTCAAAAATTAAATATACATTTTAATTTGAATTAAAGTGCCTCTATAATGTTTGTGAATCTAAAAGGTCTGGAAAGTTTCAAAGTTCACGGTAAACGGGAGTTATTGTCTGCCGAAATAAAGAACCAATACTGAATTTTAATCTTAGGCTGTGTCCGAAATCTCCCACTACTCACTATATAGTGGACTATATAGTGGGCTCGCCATTTTGTAGTGCGGTCCAAATGTTTAGTGATGATTATTATACCCTATATAGTCCACTCAATGTATCCCAGAATGCAATTTGAAAAGTAGTGTACAACCGATGGTCACTAACCCAAGCCCTATATACACCATCATGCATTGCGCTGATCGTAAAAAAGACGGACGGACGACAGCAATGACGTAATCAACGGCGCCGAGAGACGATCGAGTAGTGTCCGAAAGTGGTGTTTCTATTATGCTGGAGAGCTCACTATATAGTGCTCTTCTCCCTACCCTAGTAGTGGTTTGAGTGGAGATTTCGGAGTTGTAGTTGTACAACTGTAGTTGTAGCTGAGGACTGGAAGAGTTTGGTTTGTGTTGTCGACAGCACTGGTAGCCTATCAATTCTTATTATAGTTACCTGGGACAAAGGAAGTCCTGAGTGTCTGGGATCATTAACTATTCATTAATTAATTATTATTTTGAACTAATTTATTATTGTGTTATTACATTCTGATGGGCATATTGAGCCTGTCAGGATGTGCCACACTTATTGGATACTAAACTGATAGAAGAACAACCCTTCGGATAAGATATTAAACCAAGGTTCTGACTTTCTAGGTTCTTTAACCTCTTTAATAGTTATTTTAAAGTCATTTATTAAGGTTATAGTACATTCTGATAGGCATTTCAAATGAAGCTCCCTGAAGAACTTAAGGTGTGCGAAAGCAAATACACTTTGCTTTCAGGACTCTAGCTCGAATTTATACAGTAAAACCAAGTTATTGTTACCATTGTTACTATTCGTATAAATGTATATACACTGATGAAGCCTCTCAGCTGAAATTCAGATATGGTATGCCTAATGGTCGTTTGGCTTCCTATACAAACTGTAAGTGGTCCACCAATCACAAAAGACATCTGGGTCATCTGACCAATCAGAGGAGGCTCTCGGAAAGGAGGGTTGAGAGAAACTGAATCCTTTATCGAAAGTTTCAGGCACAGTGAGAAAAGAGGTGATGCTGCAATATATGTTATGAGAAAGTCAAAGTGTTTTTGGACCTTGGATGCATGTAAACCTCTTGTAAGAGATCTCCAAAACAATAAATAATAAACTAATAAACTTTTTGACTGTTTTTTTAACAATGTGGAAAGTGTAACATTACATTAAAAAATGTATGTGACCCCTTGGATGACAGCAAAAACATTTTTTAAAGTCTTCAAATTAAAGACAAACAATTATGAAAATTCTAGGATTAGACAGATGGCTGAGGACAAACAATGGTGTCATAGAAGCTAGAGTGAGAAAATAATGGAGTTAATTATAGATATCAAACTGAAACCCCTGTTTCAAATGATAAACAACTATTTCAAGTTGTTTGACAGGCTTGTCATTATTTAACCAACTCAAATAATCATTAATTTACCCTGAGATTTCAGCAGGTTAATTATCCACCTGTGTGGTGTTATGCATGGTAAACACTCCATTAATCTATTCACATACAAAGTAATCCACACCATCCGCTTTTTCAGATTGATCCAAGTCGGAAGCAGAGGCAATCAACACTCTTGTTCTTTCCTTGTCATTCTCAAGTGCCAAACTCAAACAACAGATGTTCCAGACTCCCATTGTCTTTCATGCCCCCTGAGCTGCTTGCATACCACACACAGTGAGGACTTTGTGTTTGAGAGAGAAAAGTGCTGCACTGAAGGAATCACTAGAGCAAATATATTGCAGAGGTTATGCTTTAACATAATAGTTCACCCAAAAATGAAAATGAGTCATTAATTACTCAACCATGTCGTTTCAAACCCACGTGACTCAACAACAAAGATCAATTCAATGAAAGGATACTTTCTTCTCCATTCAGATTTACTCATGTTTTAAAGAAACATATTCAACCCTAGAGGGCGCTGTACTTGTTGAGCTCAGGGAGAGGCGGGAAGAGGAAGAGAACGAGAGAAGGAATGATGGGACAAGACTCAGATTATTTAATTTATGAAATCAACATTCACGTACACACTTCCATCGCCTTGTTACATCTCTCATCACAACTGATATTTAATGAGACTGCTGCCAAAAACAGAATCTGGAAACATTCTCCTACCACCACTGTTTAATGCATGACAAAGTTGAAACTTTTTTCCCCCTCTGAACAACATGCATTATTCATTATAAGCCCAGAAATGTGTATTGAGAAAGTACATTTTGATTTCATGTTGATGTTTCATGTTAAACACAGCACATTTTGCATGTTGCATAGTTATCCAAAGGGGTTTTAATACCAAAAAGCGAATCTCTGACTCACCCAGAACAGGAAGTTGAAAACAAAGAGGAGGTATTTGAGACACACTGTGACCCAGTCGCCCTGCTCATCTTTATACATGCTGCCCATCTTTTCTGTTGGAGAGAAGAAAAGAAATGGAACACAAAATGAGTTCTCATGAAGTGGTGGATGTTCACTTTGTCAAAACGACAAAGAGGAGGAGGTGGGCAGGAGAGTAAACGGGCTTTTGGAAAGATGGCAGTCAAACACTGTTCTTTTCCATGACATGTTAATTAACAGCTGTGGCCCATGGGTTTCTGCCACAGACAGACGACACGCTCCATCTCAGGGCCCAGTGTGGAGGCGTCGCGTGTCAAAACAGCAGCCATGTATGGCCGATAAAATGAGGGTGTTTGGTTTGAAATGGTGGAGAGCACAACAAAACTACACACACAATCCAACCCTTTCGGCTGGTTTTAGAAATCCCGAGGACACCGAATGCACCACCAGATTGGAAAGGTGACGGACATGTTCTGTTCCAAAACACATTTGACTGCAGACTTTATATAATGCTATAATGGGCTTTTTTGCCTAGATTTTCACTGTACCATCGATTTCTTTTGGATACAGAGGCATAAAGAATTTGTTCAGAATGACTGTGGGCACATATTGATTTGCTGATCACGTGATGTAAATATATGGAGAAAGCCTTCGCTGTGTGTCAGTAAAGTAATCACTTAAAGTGCTTTTTCTTAAAGGGTTATCTACCTGTATTGAGCAGTAAATACAGATTATTTATGATGCTAGTGGACTCCAAATGCAGACATAAGTATACCACTAAATTGGAATTATGATAGTAGAAGATAATGTTTTATTCATTGCATTGGCATTTATTATTCACCTCATTGTGAAGGTCTGCCTGATAAAGACAAACTACTGTATCGTATCCACTCTGTTGACAGACCAGTGGCTTTGGCTGGGATTTGAGACACATGCAGGCTTTGTGTTGTTATGGGTTACTACAAGTATTTAAAGAAGTGTTTCAAGAATTTTAAGTAAGACTGGTCTTTTATATACTCCATATACAGATTTTTTTTTTTACTTACTACATTATGAAACCACAATTTCACTTAAAAAGTGTCTTTATTGAAAGATTTAATGGTTATTAGAGAAAACATAAAATAAAACACATGCTCAAAAGTAAAGTCATGCAGGGACTTCCTTTTATTGTTTTGCAGCAAACTTTAAAGTGATATTTTTTATATATATATTTGATAACTTGCTGGTCTCCGGCAGGTTGTAGAATGTGTGTCAGCAAGCAGAGTAGGCCTACTTGAATATAATTTAGACATTCACTGTAATTTATGTGGTAATAATAGGCCTACGTTTCCCTAAAAAAAAACCCTGATTTAAAAAGTTAATTACCAAATACTATGCCTATTGTCCACTAAACACATTTATATTAGAGTAAGCTATATTATAGTATATTTTTCGTCAAAACTAACATTCGTAAACATCATCAGGTAGCTATATTTGAGGTTAACGGAAGCTGGTAACCTTTCTTTGGTCTATTTATACCACGTTTCACTTTCGCTCTGTTTTCTCATATTGTTAAGAGGAGTTTTGTGGTTTCCTCATCAAAACTGAAGCCAATCGATTCAAAAGCCACGGATGCGATGTGTCTAAATATCGCATGAAATTACTCCCCTAAGCATTTCAGTAATTAAAATTCACGTTATTATGCTCCTCCTTCGCCCCATACAATGAAAGCAATGGTGGTTGCCCCGAAAAAAAAGAGGACAATGTTGATTCAATGCAGACGATTCTCTTTCTTTCCTCCCCCGTACTTTATAGATACTTTCCGCAAAGCGCATCGCGCAGTTGCATTGCGCGTCGAGGAACATAAGCAAATCAAAACTGCGTGGTGTCATGTAGCTACGCTTTATTTATTTATTTTTTTTAAATAAAACCTTGCTCTTATGCCGTGTTTGGGACAAACACCAAAGTCACTTTGCTTAAAGAGAAAACATCGTGTTTAAACTTACCGTAACAGCAGATTGCGGTTGTTTTCCCAAGCGAGGCTTGTTGCTCCGGACTCCGGAGGCGTGTGTCCAGTCGGAGCCGGGCGGAGGGTCAGCGCAGGATGTTAGGAGGAAATGCAACTACAGCCCGCCCCTTCATTTCATAAGATTAAATACAGCGAGCTGTTCGTCTTCAAAGGCTGCCCGTGGACTGAATAACTGTTATTAGTGCTTTTAAGTAAGTTGCCTTGTCTCATTCTGTGGGGGAAAAAATCTATATTTTTTCTCCCCTGGGGTTTGAACTGGACTGTTGAATCCTGTAAATAATCGTATTCGTTAAAATAATTCTACTGTAAAAACCTGTTGACTCCAAAAATGGTTAGGCCTAAATTTAAGAATTAGCCAATGTAAGTTATTTGAATTGCATGAATTTCCATCCATTTAGATTACTTAGTTCCAACATAAACAAACTAATAAACAATAATATTTTGCATTCTCGTTTCATTTATGTGTGATATGCATAAATAAACTGGTAGCCTAAATGTGCATCAGATTAAGTTTATTAGTTTATGTTAAAACTGCTTCATAAAAATTGATGGAAGTTTTATACTTTAAATAGTACATGTCGACTATTTATTTATATATAGATTTATATATAATTTATATTACATGTAAATACAAATATTTTATAAATAATATTTTTTCTTAAATATAGGCCTACATGCATGTGTATGTAATTATATATATATACAAAATAATTATACACAGTGCACCCACATATATTACACAAACTTTTATTTTGGATGCGATTAATCGCAATTAATCATTTGACAGCCCTAATAAATGTAGTAAAAAGTAGAAAAAAATTTAAGTAGAAATGGGCTTATAATTTACATGAAGTTGTAAAAGTAAAAAGCATCTTATAACAATGGGTATTCCCAGAAAAAAACATTGATCCTATTAACAAATTAAGATTTTTTTTTTTTGCTTTGTTATAGCATTATTTTAGAGCCATGTGCAAAGTATAGATTTGCATCTTTTTTTTAATTATATTAAGTAGGCTACATCTGTCAATTTGATGAAAGCCAGGAAAGCAGGGACAAAATTACGCTTCCTAATGCATCTCAATAATTCACTTTCACATAATCTTTCACGATATGGAAATAATACTGACAGTTTCTTGATGCTTGACTCTCAGTTGACTCTCCTTTCGAACTCAAACTGCCCTCTTGCACACAGAAGTTCCTCTGTGTGCCTTTCTCTTTCAAATCCCAGTAACCTAATAAAGTCAAAACCCCATTAGGAGAACACACGCCTCCATATGGCAGCGGATATGAGCCGCAGTCACCTGCCTGTGACAGTTCTCCAGCTGAAACAGCGTTAGAGAGGAAAACGTTATCTATCATGTCTGAATTAATGAAAAGAGTCTACAGAGACAGCGACAAAGCCACTTAAAGTGAGAAATGTCAGCGCTAATCTTCTGGCTCTGTTAGGTCTCCTAATGGAAATGAACACAAACTCATTGAATATGAGATTTGAGTTCTGCATCTTCTATCTCTATTTTCCCTGATAAAACGCCTGTTGATTGACAATTCACTGCAAAGTTTTCATTCAGGGAATCAAATCTGAGCCACATCAGATGGAAGCGGCGACATCAGGGACAACAAACACAAGCTTCGGGAAGATGGAAAGAAAAGATGACATTAACAATGCAGCAGATGACAGAGAACTTTGAAAAGAAACTCAGCCTGAACTGTTTATCCTTTTGAATTCGACTCATTGTGATTCCAGACTGGTTCTTTCTGGTTTTCTCCCAATGTTTTATTGTTGTGGCTGACAAGGCCGAGGATCCTGCGACCTTTTCGACCAAAAAAACAAACCATTTCTGTTTTGGTCATTAAACGAATGCTCATAATATGTGTGATTGTAATGATAGACTACTTGACACAAACTGTCTCAATGCCAGAAACAGTGTTATGAAACTTCAGAAAAGAATTCACGTTTTGCTGTCCGCTGCCCACATTTTCTTCTGGATATGTTTTAAGCCTGTGTGTGTGTGTGTGATTGACAGTGTATGGTGTTGTGGTGCCGAGTGTGTGGTATTACTCAGGATGCGTGGGCATCCGTCCTTCAGTGTGTTATACATGAGCAGCCCGTGTGTTGGAAGTCCTCTCAGCAGGATACAATAAAGCATACCTTTATTTCGGTCTGTAGATCGCACCACGAGCTCCATTACTGCGAGTGCTCTGATTGAGTTTGTTTATCGTGCTGACATTTCAGTGCTGGGGAAATATGATTTTCATTGATGAACCTTGCTAATTCCACATGTTTTCAAATATTTAGATGGATAGAAAGGATATTGGCCTTTAAACTCATACATGAGTGTGTTTGTGTGTGTGTGTGTGAAAGGGAGAAATGGAGTATGTTCTGACCAGGACTGCCTCCCACATTAGCTCCAGGGATTACACAAGCAGATAAGTGGGTGGCATGTAAAAACAACGAGGAGGCCGTTGTTCGACTCCAAAACTAGAATCCCACACATTATAGATACATGTAAACTCAAACCACATGTGAGCTTAGATTGGCACAGACAACACCTGTTGCTAAAGTTTCGTCTGTGGTAACCGTATGAATAAAGATTTCCTGCAAAAATGTATTGGGGCAATGTGTTGTGCTGCAAACATAAGACAAATTACCATATCAATGGAAGTGTAATTTTACATATATGTATGTTACCAAAAAAGCACATTGAAGCAATACATTAAAGCAAATACAATTAGGATAAAATGTTAAAATAATGTTAATCAGTTTTCAATTGTAAAAAATGATCATGATTTTAACGGTAAAAAACTGTAAAAATGCTACAGTGAAAAACTGTTAATTGGTTCCTTACTACAGTATATGGCAAATAACTACGATAAATCTAATGGTAAATTTTATGTAATTTTACTGTAAAATACCGTTAAATTTACAGTTTTTAAAGTGAAAATGAACAACTCATTTTATAATCTACAGTGAAAAAAACGTCCCTGCGTGACACTTCGCATTTGATGTATTTTGGTTGAAATAACTTGTTTATAGTTTGCTTAGTCTTTTTCTAATCAGTTATGTACATTAGGGTTTTATGTGACATTTAATGTTGTTAAATTAATATTTATTGCCTTTTTAAAATTTAATTTGTGTTACCATGGTGTTTAATATTTGAGTGAATGACACTGCAGCTTTCTGCATATTATTATTCATTTTCTTGTGGGAGAGCGTCATGTGATGAGCTTCTATCACGTGACTCTCATCACTGCTGTGATTGTTGGTCAGTGTATTACAATGGTTCAAACCAGATATTAATACTTCAATTGGTCGATAATTTAACAGTATATCAGATAATAAATATGGTTTATTTCTGTAAATTTTAAATAAAGTCTGTAAAACTTGTTACCATAAAGTCTTGCTACCGTATTTTATAGGGTACATATCTGGTAGCCACAGCTGCCGGTATTTTACCGTAAATTGAATTGAATTTTTTTCTTTTTCAAAAAAATTCACAGTGTAGCTTCAATCATGAAGGTCTAGCCTACTTTGTGGCTTCATGAGAAATGGCTGAAATAATTGTGAGAAATGAAAAGTTCATTATTTAGCTATGTTTTATATCTTGGGTCTTTGAGACAAGTAATGCAATTTATTTTTCATAAGGAACATTTAACAATAATCACGTTAACTGCCAAGGTCATTGTAGCATATGCTTTGAATGTAAAGTAATAATGGCTTTGAATAAAAGCGCCTGAAATCTGTCTGAAAAGTTACAGCCTTGAAATAGATTGAAAGGCTTGTGTCCTTTATTTGGAGAAAGTGGAGGTGCGATACTTATGTGGGAGGCACTAATTCAGCTTCTGATATCGCTCCAGTTCTGCACTCCCTGCGCTCGAGTTCAGTCAGCACAGTCTTTCAACTCCAACTTTCAGCGCGAACCAGACGCACTTGACTGACCAACGCAAACAAGTGGACAGCTAGGATTCGATGACTTTATGCGATCTGAAAAACAATGAATCGTCGTGTTAAACTGAAATAAAAGATGCGCTCTGATCTATCAGGCTATAAGTAACGCGGCGATGCGCAGCGGCAGGTGATGTGGATGCTGACGCGTCGTGGCTCAACTGGTCTCCAAGTGGCGCTTAGCACCTCTGGAAGAACTTTTACGCGATGGGCTTTCAGTAGGACTCGGAACCATGGAGTTAAGGGACTATCTAAGAAGTCTTTATGACATATTCCATAGTAGTTTTATTTTAGGCATTTATTGTTTATTCAACACAACTGTGCAAACTAACAAATGTGTCGTTTTAAAATTTAAAGCGCAAACCTAGAATTGCCTATTGCAGTACGTTTTAAAACTTTTATAGGACATTTAGTGCCGATACTTGCCCTTATCTAGTTAATCCGGATCCCTTTGGCTCGCATGGGACTGAGGCACTCATCGCGGTGCCTGCTCCTGCGGAGAAAGATGGCGGATGCGGAGAGCTCGGAGGTAAGTCAAAGATTCCTTTAAGTTGTGCATAATGCACCAATGTTCGTACGATCATTCATATGCAAACTTGTAAATCGCATGTGATTAATTCTAGTCGCTTATGTGTGCTTAAATGCATGATCGCGTAAAATGACGCGCTGTTTTGGAGGTCATACAAATCAGTGCCCGGTGATGTGTGAATATGCAGGGTAAAGAACAGACAGATCCAGAGCAGAGCACGTCCAGTTCCCTCGTCCTGATAGAAAAGCGATCACACACCACACCAAATGCTAAATATAGAGGTTTATATAGGCTATCAAAATATGCTGCGCGTAGGTTGCATAAAGATTAAACGGATATCTGATATATCCTTTTATAAACTCGAACACAGTAAATTAGCCTAAATTTAAAAAGTAAGACATTAAAGTTATTCGTGTGTGTGCTGAATAGCAATTCCTCTTTTATAAAGTCTATTATCGAGAGACGCCTGAGCGCTGTCCTTGGTGCTGCAGTACCACCCCCCCCCCCCCAAACACACATACACACACACACACACACACACACACACTTTGCATACCTGATTGCATACCTGATTTGATAATTATTTCACCAAATAAGCGCCGAAAAGCTGGGTTGTTTAAACAAAATGTTGGGTCATGGACAAACCCAACTATTGGGTTAAAAATTTTAATATACTGTAAGACTGTCCTTATTTGACCCAGCTTTGGGTTTAAACAACCCAGAATTTTTTAGAGTGTAAAAAAAAATGATGTCCCTCAGTCCATCTACACTTAGCCTTATTTTTTACGAAACTTTTTTGCCATTATTTATTTATCACATGAAAAAAAAAAACCTTGGATCATCAAATCAAAGATTTTAAAAAAAGTAGAGAATATCAAAAGTCTTTACAATATTTTGTTTCATTCAATGTCATTTTTTCTGCATATTTGTTTTTCAAGGTTTTTAGTACTCTGAATAAATGAATAAATTGTTCTTATAACTCTATCCGTAGGACAGCAATACCAAGGTCATGTGTTTGATTCCTAAAGAGTGCATTAACTGATTAAATGTATACTTTGAACACATTATGGGTTGTTTTAGATTAAAAAAAAAAACTGTCTGCCATCGCATAACACACTGAATCCAGTAAGTGGGACAGAGAGTCATTGCAGATTATTTTACTGTTGACTTTCCCAGCAGCGCCAGCAGCATCAGCAGCATATTTCCAGTGTTCCCTCATCCCAGGCCATGCAACCTTCACCTCTACCAAAGCCAGTGACCTCCGTTCATCATATTCCACACCCCCCACACACCCCACATGTCTCTGCACTGTCCGCCTGTCCGGGACGAGGCAAAATGGCCAAGCTACTCAACCCAGAGGAGATGACATCCCGGGACTACTACTTTGACTCATATGCCCACTTTGGAATTCATGAGGTAATCGAAGCTCCAGTTCGGATACCATCTAGTATGGGAGTTGGTGAAGTATACTAGTCTAAGATGAAAATGTTATCTTGTTCACTATCAAGGACAGGTTTCTGCTAAATAAATGTTATCATGTGCAGCTTATGTTATGATATACTTACATTTGTCACTGAAACCCTTTTCTAACCTCATTGAAGAAGTGAGAGAGCACCTTTGATACCGGCACATTTAGAGCATGAGGGTCAAATTGGATAAAAGAACATTTCTTGATAACACACAGAAAAAGAAGGACAATAGTAAGAGGGAGAAAGAGCGAAAGAAAAGGAAAGAGAATTGGAGCGGGGGGAGGGGGTGCTTGGGAAGATGTGTATCAGTTAATCCCAGCAGGCTAAATGGAGACCTGTCTCTATAAAAAGAATCCTGGAGACACTGCGATTTGTGTCCTATATATTGTCCTCCATATCACAGTCCAAGAGAAAAGGTCCAGAAATAAGGGATGGACTCTAAGGACTTCTCACATGCATCAGTCAAGTATGTGCAGCCATTTACCGATCAAATATTTGGGGTCAGCACGAAAAGAAAAATGAACACAGCAAAGATTGGCAAAGTAAAGACAATTATAATGTTATAAAATTTTATTTCAAATAAATTCTATTTGGTAATATTTTATTTTGATGGTCCCTTTTAGACATTCTGTTGACTATTTTTGCAATTACATCAGCTTATTCTACTAACCCTACCCCTAACAGTTTACTAATACTCTAATGAGAGTTAGTTGACATGTAGGTGCAACATTCCTTAAAGTCAACAGAATGTCTAAAGGGGACCTTCAAAATAATAGTCTCTATATATTTTCTACTGTTTACAACTTTTTTTTTCTCAAAAGGAAATGCTAAAGGATGAGGTGAGGACATTGACTTATAGGAACTCCATGTACCACAATAAACACATCTTTAAGGATAAGATTGTTCTAGATGTGGGAAGCGGAACCGGAATCCTCTCCATGTTTGCTGCCAAGGCAGGAGCCAAGCATGTGTATGGGGTGAGGACTCTAATTACTCATTCCAAGTGTGTTTACTGTCATATAGGTTTGAGTTAGAGGGCAACATGCAGGCTTTACTTTACTGCAGATCTAACTCTTTTTTACACTCCCAAACTATATCTATGTATATCTGGAGAGAAAGAGTGGGAGAGTGTGCTGATAATATCAGTAGTGTTACTGTGCTTCTGGTCTGTATTAGATAACACTCCATTGATCCACCCACTAGGTCCAGTTTTAGTCGCTTATCTTTCATATGCCACAATAAGCAAAATGTTTCTGTTTCTGTCCGTAGCATGGATACACAAAGGGTTCACAGTTTTATAGACATTTAAAAAATGCATATTTATGCATGTGGTATATTTACAGTAGGTATTTATTTCATTCCTGTACGAATACGTTTTTTAAATGAATCATTCAAATGAATGAATCATTGAGGCAGGCACTTTTCACCACTTACTCCTGGCAATAGTGACATTGGAATGGCCAAACAAAGACAAGCGGAGTTATATAAACAGGATATTTCACCAAAAACAATATTTTTTTTCTTTAAATACAAACTCCATTCCAATAAAACTTGAAGTTATGCATACAAAAGGGTTCCGTCTGGCTTGAGTCAGCTAGCGTACCCCTAATACGGTTCTTGCTAAATATGCTAATACAAGCTAATTTTCATTTTGTTTTGTAGATTGAATGCTCCAGTATATCAGAGTATTCCGAAAAAATCATCAAATCAAATCACCTGGACAATGGTAGGACATTCTGCTGCTCATTCCTGTTTGGGCACAGCACAGTGTTTCGGTCTGATCTTCATTCTTGTGTGGAATAGAAGAGTCATACATTTTCCTCTAGGCAAGTGGAGTTCCATGACACAGGAAGTAGCATAGTCACTTCCTGTGGCTGACACTCCCCACTTGTGGTGTGATGGCAGAAGTTGTTGTTTAGTTTAGCTCTCATTAACACTGGAGAGCAGCGGGCGGGCGAGAAGCCATGAGTCAGTGTGAGAGAGGAGTCACACACACACACACACACACACACAGGCATGGAAATTAGAGATTGGCAAACTTCCTTTTGCAAAATGGGAATAATGGAGATGATGAGAGAAAAGAAGAGCGAGGGAGAGATAACCATAAAGAAACCTATCAATCAAATGTAACTTGTCATTCTTGTGACATTCTTATCATTCGTGTGTGTAAATGCTGGTTCGTAACCCATTTGATTCCTGCAATGTGACATTTATGAATAAAACAAAACAAAAAAGTCTTGATTTTATCCATCAGGAATTGTAATACTTTAAATTTTATTGTTCTAAATATATTTATTTAGAACAAAATCTCTCTCTTTCCCTCTTTCTCTCTCTGTATATACAGTACATCTACAAATGATATATTTAATTGTACATTACATAGTATAAAATAAGCTAAATTCAAGCCTCACTCTCTCTTCTCTATTTGTTGTGCATCTTGCAGTTATCACGATCATTAAAGGGAAGGTGGAGGAGACTGAACTGCCCGTGGATCAGGTGGACATCATCATTTCAGAGTGGATGGGCTACTGTCTTTTCTATGAGTCTATGCTCAATACTGTCATCTACGCCAGGGACAAATGGCTGGTCAGTGTGTGTTGGTTGTCTCAAGGCCAAGGTTATTTGACTAATTAGAATGTGAAACGTGTGTCCATGCTGAAAATGATAATTCATAATGGGAATGAGTGGCTTGTCATTGGGCCGCTGATGAATGTCTACCACTGAATGACAATTTGGTCCAGAGGACAAGTGGCTTGTTAGAGATTTTCATAGAACCATTGTGTTGGTGCCAGTACATTTTTTTTCACTCTAGAGTTATTTTAATGGTGCACTGAACAGGAAGAAAAAGAAAGAAAGATGTGAAGTCACTGGAATAATTGGAATATAATCATATGCCAGGAATGCATTTATGTAAATTAAAATGTAATATGAGGGTAGCTGAGTTTCAGCAGTGTCTACTTTAGATAATATTTCCATAAAAAATACTATATTTAATGTTATATTTTGACCTTAAAATCTATTGTATCTAAGTATTTAAAACATTTTATCAAATAATTATATATTATAATAGAATTTAGATAATTATATTATATTATTGTGGTTAATATTATTATGGTGTTTTATGAACTTACAAAAAAAAATAATTTGGACAACCGTCAACAACCCATACATTTTTTTTCATAGGTGATTTTTGAGGATTTTCTTTCCTGTCATTTTTCAGAAACCTGGCGGTTTCATGTTTCCGGACAGAGCGACATTGTATGTGGTTGCCATTGAGGATCGACAGTACAAAGACTTCAAAATCCACTGTGAGCGCACACACACACTCACACAGCCATAAGGCAACTATATGTCCTGTATTAAATGACCTTTTAAACTGTATCTCTGTGGTTCCCACACATTTATTTAGCTTAAAATTCCTGTTGAGCTCCATTACTCCCCCGCAGCAAACCGTTAGCTTTTTCTCCTTCCCTTTGACTCCCTCCTTCATGTTTTGGATGAAACTATGAGATTCTCCTCGGCCTAACACTCATGTGATGGGATGTAATCAAATGCTGCCAGACACAGAGGAGGAAGAAGTCTATTTTAGGGCCAAACGAAGACTCCTAGACACAGCCACACAGATTCACTTTTCAGACACATGCATGTTTTAATACGTCTTAAAATATGTTTTCTCTGTGGCTGCAGGGTGGGAGAACGTCTATGGCTTTGACATGACATGCATTCGTAACGTCGCTATGATGGAGCCCCTGGTGGACATAGTAGACCCTAAACAAGTCGTGACCAACTCCTGCCTTGTTAAGGTATGAGTATGTGCTCGCCTCTCTGTGTGTGTGTATGTGAGCAAGATCAGATTTGGATCATACTGATGGCCCGTGCGATAGGCTACTACAGAACACATGTAGCGTGGGTGTTACATAACAGAATAATTCATAGTAACGTGCCGCCTGATGACAGCGTGGTAACGTGTGTTCATCTCAACATGCAAACACCAATCATTCATTTAAATTAGCAGGGCAGAAATAAGTCCTCACGAAATATAAGGCTAATAATATCATCATGTTGGTCATTTGAAGCCTTGTTTATGAAAGATTTATTTTCTATGTAAGGTTGTTTCCCCTACACTCTAAAAAATGCCTGGTTGTTTCAACCCAAATGTGGGTCAAATATGGACAAACCCAAAAGTTCGGTTAAAAATGCAATTGAAAGTTGAAGTTGGGTTAAAATGTTAAATTACATTTTTAACCCAACATTTGGGTTTGTCCATATTTGACCCAAATTTGGGTTGAAACAACCCAGCATTTTTTAGAGTGGAAGCATGTGTGGTGTGATTAAATTAATAATATAATATATTGCAAATAATAATGATCAAAATAAGATATTCATTCTAAATGTATTACTCTCAAAGTATTTGAGCTACACTCTTAAAAAATGCTGGGTTATTTTAACCAAATTTTGGGTCAAATATGGACAAACCCAATTGTTGGATTAAAAAAAATGCAATTTATAAATTTAACCCAACAGCTGGGTTTGTCCATATTTGACCCAAAATTTGGTTAAAATAACCCAGCATTTTTTAGAGTGTATGCTTATCTATATGTCCATACCCATAACTACACTGTAAACAATGCTGGGTTGTTTGAACCCAAATTTCGGTAAAATGTGGACAAACCCAAATGTTGGGTTAAAAATGTAATTTAAAAATTTAACCCAACTTCAACTTTCAACTGTAAATTTTTGTAATTGCATTTTTAACCCAGCATTTGGGTTTGTCCATATTTGACCCAAATTTGTGTTGAAACGGCCCAGCATTTTTTGGAGCGTAGTCTTAATATGACTGTATAAAGATTATACTTAAAGGGAAACTCCACTTTTTTTTGGAAATAGGCTCATTTTACAACTCCCTCAGAATTAAACAGTTGAGTTTTACCATTTTCGAATCCATTCAGCCGATTTTCTGATATTTAGAAGAATATCAGTAAACCAGACAGTTTCTGGTCCCAGAAAATCATCTGAATGGATTCGAAAACGGTAAAACTCTACTGTTTAACTCTGGGGGAGTTGTAAAATTAGCCTATTTCCAAAAAAAAAAGTGGAGTATCCCTTTAATTAAGAGAGAACTGGTTACCGTTTTAGAGTTTGGGAGATTTAAATGAGATCTATGAGCATTTGGGCTTAATTAAACATGACTATGAGCATTATGACTTCATTTTTCATTTTGTCAGTGAAGACATATTCAATGCCAAGAATGTCAAAAGAAAAGAGGCAAAGCAAGTACAGAAAGAAAAAAAGAAAAGAAAAGAAAGGGCTATGCTTTCAATGTGCCTCTGAATCACCTGCGGAATCAAACTCTTTGAAGAGGAGAATGATTCCGACCTCTTTGTGAGGTTTATTAAATGAAAGGCTGAATTGAACAAACGAAAGGCTCAATGCTTCACTGATCTGTTGTTCACACAAAGAGTAAGAGGATCTTTGTTCACCAAGGCTGTTACTTGTGCCAACTTCTCTACTTCTACAGGCAGCAGTAAAGCCACAGCCAAGCAATATAGTCTGAAATTGAATCTGCTGTGATGATGTATGGGTTAAGGCTATATGACATAAACCACATTGCACTTAGCTTAGATCACAGATAGCAGATCATCAAAGGACTTTGTTAGAGCAAGTATGCCGGCCAATCATAATCTCTATTTAAACATAATCTCTAAGTGTGAGACGGGACATATGGCTTTCAGGAGGTGGACATCTACACGGTGAAGCCGGAGGACCTGGCGTTCACCTCGGCCTTCTGTCTGCAGATTCAGAGGAACGACTATGTTCACGCTCTCATCACGTACTTCAACATTGAGTTCACCAAGTGTCACAAGAAGACGGGCTTTTCTACAGGTTCACCCTTCACTTATTCTGTACCCAATTATCTCTTACAAATAAATCCAGTACTAACCGAGCCATTGCACATTCCCTTCCAGCCCCTGATGCTCCCAGCACTCACTGGAAGCAAACTGTGTTTTATCTGGAGGATTACTTGACGGTGCGGAGAGGAGAGGAAATCCTGGGAAGCATCACTGTCAAGCCCAACGAGAATAACCAGGTGAGGCTGGAAGTGTGTGTGTGGGTGGGAAATGAGATGGAGAGAAATCAAACGTTTAGAACAGTGGTTCTCAACATTTTTGACTGCAAGACAATATCTGAATGCCCACCTAATATTTTCCTGGTTGACTTACTTCTGGTGTTATAACAAAGCTTCTCGTTTCTAAGCTTTCAAATCTGTTTATCACGATTAATCGCATCTAACATTTTGGTTACATAATATCTGTGTGTGTGTGTATATACAGTATGTATATATATATATATATATATATATATACACAGTGCATCCACATATATTATGAAAATACAAACTTTTATTTTGGATGCGATTAATCGTTTGACAGCCATAATATATATATATATATATATATATATATATATAAATACACACACATGCTTGTATATAAGAAATATTTTCATGTATATACTGCATATAGATTTATATATAATTTATATTATATATAAATATTTTATATAAAAATAATGTTTTTCTTATACATGCATGTGTGTGTATTTAAATATATATACAAAATAATTATACACAGTGCATATATTATGTAAACACAAACTTTTATTTTGGAGATGTGATTAATCGCAATTAATCGTTTGACAGCCCTAATATATATATATATATATATATATAAAGAGTAAGTAAAAATTAATGTCACTTAAATGACAATTAATAGGTAATCTCCATTGCCATTTAAGTGAAATTACTGAACAAGCTTGATAAAAAATGATCATTCTAGAAGAAAATTGGCACTCAGAGGCTTTTGCATCTGAACTCTTCATATATATATATATAATCTGTATAAATATACACATGTATAAACGTGTGTATATACAGTATATACACACACAGATTAACGGATTAACAGATTAGCGATTGACAGATTTGACAGCACTAGTAACAACATATCACATCAAATAAAATAATTTAACTCCAGAATTCCTTAATGTTCCCCAGGGTTTACACTTTTACTCACAAATAGCAATTTCTACCCAATTTAACAAATTTTCACAAATTTCCCACAACTTTTTTATTAACTTCCATGGCTTTCTCAGGTCTAGAAATCATACTTTAAATTCCCTTGTATAACAAATCAAAATAAATTTGAGCTGTTTTAGCTTATTTATAACTTTCTTTGCCTTATTTTAAATCATTTTAAGCTTCTTGGAAGTTTGAAAACCACTGGTTTATAAACAAGTAGAGAGTAAAAGGCAGATTTCAAAAACTAAAATGACAAAACTTGACTTCATTCAGCGTGACTTGGACTTCACCTTCGAGCTGGATTTTAAAGGGCAGCTCTGTGACGCAGCCATCTCCCATGACTACAAGATGCGGTAAAACTCGTGGGGCATCTTGAGTCGGGGCACCGTTTCCCAGGGAGATTCGGTGGAGAGATGGACTGTCTCTCCTCTGCCTCTGTCTGGATGAGAGAGGCTGGCGAACCACAGGACCCCTCTGTGATGTCATCAGTGCGAGGCCAGCACTCAAGCAATAGTCACCGTTCTTAAATGCACTTGAAGAATAGACTGTGAAAACATCACTCTGAATGTAACTGTAAACGAGTCTGAGAATGTCAAAGTTTGTGTTTATTCAACCACATAAGATAGAAAAGTGTATGCCAATGTGAAATCGTACAATGCCTCATAGAACAAAGGCTTCAGTTTGGATGCATAAATGAAGAGTTTAGCTTATGTTTAAGTGCATTTTATTGTGTTATATTTATTGGGTTAGTATTGAGTTTACTGGGCATGTTTTCTGCCTTTGCTTTTATTTCAATTCATTCAGGCTTCACTAAGATTATTCTAAAGAACCTCTAAGAGCAGCTAAATTATAATCAAATACAAGATTTGTTATTTTAGAGTAACATTAATGTTGGATTTGAGCTTGTTTAAATGTCCAAAATCTCACGTACAACCTGATTGAAGCAACTGTTTACTCCTTTGTGTAAAACAAGATGGTCACAGAGCAGTTCAGATAAAGAAGGCACACCACGACTGTTCTTCCCTCTATAACATCGAAGATTTTAGTGCTTATTGATGTTCAACTGAACTGAACTGCAAACGGTTTTTACTGGCCATTTTGAAATCTAGGTTTCATGGTGCTAGTACTTTAGGTGGACTGAATGAGGCTATTGTAATGCTAAATAAATGGAAAGTAACAAACAATCACATTTTTTTCCTAAATGACTTTGTTCTTTCCTGGTTAAATGTGTTTTTACACTTGTTTTACTACACTCCATTAAAAAAGAATGGGTTTGTATTGTTAACAAAATAGAATATGTACAAAGATATTTTAAATGAGGTGTGATAAGGTGTCCTGTGACTAATATATACTTCCTCTACATAACAGATGAGCTCAGAGCTATATGCTCTTTGACAATTGGACATTTTTACACATTACACTATTAGTGCTTGAATCTGCACTCTTTCAGCCAACATTAAACTATTTACATTGAGTTTAAGGTCTGATGATGATACATAAAACGCAGTGATTTCACCCATATGTGTGTGTGTGTGGTCACTTGCAGCAGGATTTCTTCCTCAGTGGTTGATCCACCAGTCTGACCGTGTTCACCCATACTCTGTCTTCCTGTTCCCTCAGGACTCTGCAAAAACATCAGCGTTCTTTAACATAAAAGTCTTAGCTGTCGAATAAATAAAAAAATGGGAGCACTGCTAAAGATGAGAGAATCACATTTTGAAGATAAAAAAACCCACAAGCTTTCCGTTCGACATCTGATGATGTTTGCAGACAGCTAGCTGTCTCACAGTTTCACACATTTCTCATTTTTGTGGGTTGCAGCCCTAGGTGAGGTGTTACGAAGATCACAGCTAAATGTAGTAGGTTCGGTAACATTGCGTTCATGTGTTTTTTCAGTTCTTACCTAGCCAGATGTATCATGGCCTCCAACACATTAGCTCCAGTATAAGCACTGCACTCGTAAAACATCAGGTTTGTTTCCTACCAAATATAACACAAATCTGTGCATAATGTGTTGGATATAGTTAAGTAGACTTGAATGTAAATGTAAATATGATAAGATATACTGTGTGTGTGAGAGAAAGCACAAGAGCACACCTCTGCAAGCATATCAGCCTCTTTTGTCTGCACTTCTCGCTCATTCTCCTGGTCCGATTTGTTGCCCAGGAGCATGACAGGGATAGGGTCGCCTACGGCCTCCTGTATGCTGGTCAGCCAGGGGCGGACTGATCTGAAACTGTCCTCCATTGTTATGTCGTAGATGACCACCACGCCATCTGCCTTGCGGAAAAACTGCTTGGTAATGCTGCGATACCTGCAGAGCACAGTGACATTGCATTTTTTCCCGCTGGATGTTTATCATCAGTGACAAGTGAGTTCATGTTTTGGTTGCGGCAAGCTTTTTAGAGATGCTTTAAAGGATAACAGCACAGTCTGGGGAACAAACTGAAACTGAAGCTGAATTTAAATGTCCTAAATAACAAGATATAAATGCAAAACTATATCCTGTATGGTCGTATCAGGGCCTCACCTTTCTTGGCCTGCAGTGTCCCATAGCTGAAGAGCAACAAGACTGTCCCCCAAATTCAGAGTCCGCACACTATAGTCAATGCCTGTACAACACAACATAATTGAAGAAGTTATATATATATAAATGTGCAGTTCACACATACATTTTGCTAAATAAAAAATTACACAACAAATACTGCTGAAATCACGTTCCTTTATTAAAAATCAATACAAACCAATACTGCAGTGAGTGATAATGGCCACTAGAGGTCACTGTTGAATAATATTTCTGTGTAGAGTATACAGGCGTTTTAAATGCTTTAGCCACAAGCTTATGATTGTCATTGAATTATAAAGCAAAATATCAAACCACTTTGTATTTATTCACTAAAAATTGACTTGGGACCAGACCAGCTGGTTGAAAGTAACTAAAATGGGTGAGAAAAGTCCAGTGTTCACTGCCATTTTGGTTTAGGACTAATACAATAAAACAATTTAATCACAATTATTTATTTATTTATTTTTTTATCTTTATTTGACATGGACATACAATTACATTGGACGAGCCATATGCATTTGTTTTTTAGTGATTATAGCATACATGCTAATTTTCAACACCTGTCCACGGAAGGCTTTTGAAAATAAAATAAAATACAGTTACAAGGGGAAGAAAAAAAAAAAAAAAAAAAAGAAGAAATAGATAAATAAATAAGTAAACAAAAAATAAAAACAGCAAGTATCAGAATCAGAAAGTATTAGTAATAGACTATACATGTGAGCACTGTTGTTTAGTTTTCAGCCATTGTTTCAGTCCTCTGTTAAAAGCATTTCCATCTGTCTCTAGTTTTAAATTAGTGGGCAAAGCATTCCAGAGTTTTGGCCCCTTTACAGAGAAAGCAGACTGACCAAAAGAGGTCTTACACTTTGGAACTAGACAGTCACCTCTGACAGTGGCCCTTGTGTTCGCCCTCTGAGAACTTTGCCGTCTGCTTACTAATTCAGAGAACATTGGTGAAACATGATTATTTAAACATTTATAGACCAATTTGATATAGTTAAAATCAATAAAACTGTCAAAGCCCATAAGCTGATGCTTTGTTAAAACATCACAATGATGCCACTTCATAGGTTTCCGGTCCATAATTTTTATTGTCTGTTTGTAAATGGAGAAAATAGGTTTTAGTTTGGATGGGGATGCTTGTGACCATGATGTAATGCAATATGATAAATGTGAGAATATCATCGCATGCATGTAGAGTTTTGCAGTGTGATAAGACAGATCTCTTCTTATAAATCGAAAACAGTTTATATTTGGTTTGACCTTTTTACATATGTACTTAACATGATTGTCAAATTTTAAATTGTTATCTAGAATTATCCCAAGGTACTTGACTTCGTTAACTACTTCTATTACTTCTTTTTTTATCTGAACCTCAAATATATCACTTAAAGGCCTATTTCGTATGGAGAAACACATAGAGACTGTTTTCTTAACATTAAAGGATAAATGGGATGACTCAAGCCATTTAGAAATATTAATTAATGCTTTTGTCAGGTGTTCACCTGCCAGACTAGATGTTTTAGCGGAAACATGGACCACAGTGTCATCCGCATACATCTGACAGTTTATGCCTGGACAGCATTTTGGTAGGTCATTTATATACATGGTAAACAACAATGGGGCAAGTATAGACCCTTGCGGTACTCCCATATTATTGGCTTGCATAGTTGACCTCACCCCATTTACCCTAACACATTGCTGTCTTCCGCTCAGATACGACCTAAACCACTGCAAAGATTCAGAAGACATTTTAAAAAGATTTAATTTTTGTAATAAAATAGTGTGATTGACAGTGTCAAAGGCCTTTTTTAGGTCCAGGAACACTGCTCCGACAACATTTCCTTTGTCCAGTGATTCCTTAATTTTGTCGAGTAAATAACAGTTTGCTGTTTCGGTGGAGTATTTGTCTCTAAATCCAAACTGCAGTGGATAAAGCAGCTGGTTGGACTCTAAATGTTCCGCTAATTGCTCGGCAACAATCTTTTCCAGAACTTTTGAGACTACAGGAAGGATAGCAATAGGCCTATAATTGCTTGCCAAATCCTTATCACCCGTTTTATAGATTGGTGTAATTATTGCTGTTTTCCAGCTCTCTGGGAATGTTTTTGTTTGTATTGACAAATTTATTAAATAAGTAATTGGCTCTAACAGACAGCTTTCATTTCTCTTGATTAGTGTAGCATGTATGTTGTTTATGTCCTTAGACATGGAGTTGCTCATATTTACAATCACCTTTTTAACTTTATCACAGGATACCTCTTTAATACAGAAGAGGTCTGTATGAGCATTGTCAGACTCTTCAGGAGATGACTTGATATATTTAAAATTACTTGCTAATTCTTGTACGGAATTAATAAAAAAAGTATTAAAAGCATTTGCAATTGCCTCATTACTATGAGTCTGGACCTGACCATCTTTAAGACCGTTTATTTGTAAGTGTTTTTGTCTACTTGAATTGGTTAATCTATTTATATGTTGCCACAATTTGGAACTATTTCCACCGGCTTCTTCAATTAATTTAGAGAAGTAATTAGTCTTGGCCTTACGCAACTCTGATACTACTTTGTTCCTCAAGCTCGTATAAATAAGGTGATCAGTATTCATTTTTGTTTTTAAAGACTTTTTAAGGGCAATATCTCGCCTTTTAATGATCTGAAGGATGTCACTATTAAACCATGGAAGATGGTATTTTTTTGGTGTCTTTTTCCAGGTTTTTGTATATTTATTTATTAGGTCCCCTAACACAGAGTTAAAATTGCTTGCACTGTGGTTTAGATCTGTTTCTTTGATTACCCTTTCCCAGTTAGCTTCTCTTAAATCATGTTCAAAATTTGCTTCTTGGGACTTAGGTATTCCTGTTGATATGGTTGGATTTTCTGTTTTGTAATGGTGAAGTAAACGTTTTTTTGTTAGTTTTCTCACTATCAGTGTCATGTTGTGATCTGAAAGGCCAGTGATGAGATTATAAGTTTTTGTTACTCTCTCTGGCCTATTAGTAAAAACCAGGTCAATTAGAGTTTCACTCTTTCTAGTGATTCGAGTAGGTCTGTCAATCAGTTGTTTAAATTTAAATTTCTCCATAGTTGATTTTAATTGTAGTTTGCCACTTTTAACCATCCAGTTAATATTGAAGTCCCCAAATATCATACATTCACAGCGATTGTCTGCGATAGAGAGAAGATTTTTCAATTTGTTGTAAAAATTCACATCATGACTTGGAGGATTATAGAGCACAACTATATTAAACTTCATATTTGGAGAGAGAGATTTATTATTTAATAAATCAGGTCGTTTATGGGCCAGGGGTGAAAGGCTAGAAACTTTGATATAAAGTGAACTGATGGTGTTTGACATAATCTGGTGTGCAATGTGCGGCAGGCTTTAAATGCAAGGAGTGTGACTTCCCAAGCCCTTTCATGTGATGTTGCCCGCTTTAAGAAATCCATCTGATATAGCATAGCAGGTTTCCATTGACTCTCACACATATTCAAATCCAATGCACTAAGGAGTAATACTAATAATGCACAGACCATTTAAATCATAACAAAAGAGATTGCTGTAATTCATCCTTCTGATAAAATACAGCAAACTCCAGTAAAAGGGCAACCATCTGTTAAACCCACTTGAACTGACCTGTCCAAAATTGTAAATTGCACATGGAGGGAGAGAGCAACTTACCCACAGTGGCTGAGGTGGCTGAATGAAACTGTCCATCACAGAAGCGTCGCAGCAGTGCGGTTTTACCAACACTGGAGTTTCCCACCAAAATGACCTTAAAGAGGCGTTGAGGGGATGCGGCAGCACCTTCTGCTGGACCCTGTCGCCAAAAACACACAGTGACATTTTTAAAGTAAAGCTAACAGCTAGATGTGTTGAGTGCACATAAAAAACACGATTACACTTTAAATAGTCTCGAAATCCACATATTATGGTCTCTCTTTCACTCCGTCTCTGATTTTTGAATGAAGAATTATTTGGTTTTAGGACTTTAATAAGTAAATGCATCTGAAATGATATGTCCCACCACTGACCTGCTGGTGGGTCTCCTTTCCGACAGGCTGACCCCGTGCAGACGAGGGCATGTTTCCTCTGATCCACTTCTTCTTCGACGGCTTCTTCACCCTAACTGGTGGTGGAGAGTCAGCAGAGGCCAGAGACGCATTGGACGGGTAGAGGGAGCTCGTCTCTAGATCCCCCTGACCTTCTTCCTCTGCGGCTCGCTCTTCTTCTTCCTCGCTGAGCTGATGCAGAAGAAGGTGATGGTCTCCTTGTAACAGGTGGGGGAGGTGGTCCTCCTCGATGGATATGACTCTGCGTAGAGGCCAACCATCCGGTGGCGCATCCTCCACATCCCCTCTGTCATTTACACCTTCTGAGTCCACAGACACCTTCTGAGATTGCACATCCACCTCCGGCTTCCCATCATCCCCTGCGGTGAAGGGTGAACATTGACTGTTTGCTAAAGAGGTGGTCTTCCGGTTAGAGCGCTGAGTCACTTCCTCTTCATCAGCTTCTCTGAAATGAAGAGTAAATGTTTCCATGTTATTAAATCATGAAGGTATTCACATGCGAGTATTTGAAGATGTCTCACTTTTTGACGGATGGTTTCCTCTCAGAGTATTTTATTGAAGCTGCGCTCAGTCTGTGCTTGCGTGAGGATTTCTTCATCGAATTGCTGCGTTTCTGTTGCAAATTACAGGGAGATATTCGGTTTACGATTGCTCTTATTAGTCAAAAGTGGAAACACACCCACTACATTTTTCTATTATTAACATTTTCCACATTTTAGAAAAAGAGAAGTCATCAAAACTACTAATAAACACAAAAAACAAAGGAAATGGAAATTATTATGTGACCACAAAATGCTAAATTAATTTCTAATGTCTAAACTTAAGAACAACAATGTGACAAAATTAAAATGTAAAAAAAAAAAAAATTTGGTAAACTTACCAGAAAGCTAATGTCTCGCTCATCTCGTAGATGTTTATTCATTTCTCTAAAAGAACAACATTTAATTTTAGATTTTTGTGTGTTGTTTGTCTACAGCATATGTGAGGATGTGTAAGCACACCTGAGTAGATCTAACTGTTTCATCAAGCTGTGTTTTTCTCTCTGCAGGCCTTCTGTGATTCTGTACATCTCCCTGTGAGGGTAAAGCACATGTGTGTGTATGAGAGACACAAAGACACTGGTGGGGTTTCCGTGTGTATGTAATAAATGGCGAGACTGACATCTCTCTCTCCTGCTGTAGTCGAGAGGCCTGCTCCTGCAGAATGCCCAGCTGCTCCTGAGCCAACTCCAGCTCTTGGCAGGTGTGCTCAAGTTCACGAGACAACTCCTCATTGGTCATTTTCAGTTTAACATTCTCCAGTCGACTCTCCTGTTGTTCGCTATGAAGGTCACGGCATTGTCTCTCTAACTGGAAAAAAATTACATAAAAAAGCTGTGAGTTGAAATGGTGTGAGTGCCACAAAATTATAAGATTTTGTCTGATTCTGCCGGTTCATTTGTGGTGCTCACCCTCCTTTGTTTTTGGAAAAGCTGCTCTAAATCCTGTTCTTTACTACGGAGCCGCTGCTGGAGGTCCTGACTACGCAACTGCAGATTTTCAGAGTCCTGAGAGAGAATTAACATACAATGCCTATATTATTACGATACAAAATAACTAAAATGTATGAAGCTGAATTGTCTTCAGAGTCACATGATCCTTTGGAAATCATTCTAATCTGCTAATTTTCTGCTCAAGAATAATTTCTAATTATTCTAAATGTTGAAAACAGTTGTGCTGCTTAATATTTTTGTGGAAACTGATACTTTTTTTCTCATAATTTTAGAAAGTTCAAATATTTTTACTGACATATTTGATTCATTTAATGCATCCGTGCTTAGCCTTAATTAAAGTATTAATTTCTCTTTTTTTTATATTCTTTACACTGTACAGTGTAAAGGAACATGCAACAGTACCTTCAGAATTGCTTGATCTTTTTCATTAATGATCTGTTGCTCCATTTCCTCATATAATCTGCGAATTTCGTTGTCATGTGTGGCTGCTTTCCTGTGCAATGACAATAGAGTTCAATGTTAAATGCATTGCCTAATACAATCTAAAGATAAAACACAAACAACTGTTTCATATTATATAAATTCTTCCAAATTCTCACAGTATTTACATTGCAAAACACTGGCTCAGACCTGCAAATCCAGGTAATAATTAAAGGATCATAAGATTTCATGTGTATCTTTAAACAATGCATGTTGCAAACCACATCATTTTGACCTAGATTTGATCAAAATACCTTTTATTCCCACCAGAAGTACAGCCTGGTGGTAAACTTGGTGGTCACTGGACTGGGATAAAACAGCATTCTATAGGGAATTACATTAAGCCTCTAAACGGGGATTATTCACAAGTAACATGGGGGGAAAATACGATTTTTGGCTCTTAAACATGCGACTTTAGATGCTCTAAATTCATTCTCATTTCATGTTGCATAAAGAATCATCACATCACCTTCTGAGGGTGCTCTCCATCTCCTTCCTCTCTTGTTGTGCCTCTTTGATTTGATATGTGACACGGGCCAGGAACTCTTCGAAGTTGGACAGGAGGTGAGGCTCATCCTTCCTGAGCTGAGTCCACAGGCTGCGAACCTCACTCGGGCTGAAGTGAAGAGAGAACTGTTACTGCTTGTCTAATGCTTTATTGCAATGCCATGTGGTAAAACATCAATACTAACTCCTCAAATATATTGCTAGCACCCAAGCTCTCCATCAACACACTGAAATGTCTCTCTTCATCATCCTCTTTCCCTGACAGCTCTTCATCCCCTGAGCTCTGAGAGGGTGTATTCATTAGTTCCTCAGTTTTGGAGACTCTTCGTCCGTAAAGAAAGTTACCTGGGGAACAGTTACAGATAGACCTTGTAAAAGTTGTGTCATTTGCTGTGCTATATATATATATATGTACCAAATAACAAATGATTTTTGAATAGATCCTCTTGACTGGAAGGAGATGATCATAAACTCACTGAATCCGGAGGAAAACTCTCCCATGGTCAGGTATCCATTTTTTTCAAGGTCTAGCGAGTCAAAAACGTTCTCGAGTTCCTCGGCAGTGAGTGGCAATTCTTTGAGTAGCCTCTAATATAGAGAGAATGATGATTTATGATTAAATACTCAAGAAACGGATCAAAAAATGACATCATTAACACTATTTTCAGCCATCTAGATATCCTGATAGCCTAACCCTTTGTGCTAATAGAACATTAAATCTTTTTAAACAGGAGGGAAAATAATGCAACTGTTATGGTAGTGTTATGTTTGTAGACTCTTATGTTGTTTCTTTTGGTTTCTGTGTTTCCTTCCTGTGTTTAGCTCCTGTTTGTTACTATGGTTACTCATTGATTAATTGATAATGTTCACCTGTGTCTTGTTTGGTTTAGCCTGTGTATTTAAGCTGTCAGATTGTTTCAGTTCATTTTTCCTGTGTTGTCTTTGAGAAGAAGCATAAACTTTTATCTATTCCAATGATTCTAGTGTTTTGGGTCATCTTTGTTTTCATTTTTAAATAAAAGAATGCTACAATTTAGGTAACCTGCTCCTCTTTCCATGCCTGAACTGTATGCACCCTCAATTTTTTTAATAAAAATAAAAAGGTTGATTGCCATAGAAAGCTAAAACATACAGAAACATTGTAGAGTTGCACCAATGCCATGAAAAAAAAAACTAAAATAAAAAAATAAAAAAATAACAATAATGAAAGAATGCGCAAATATGAAGTGGTGAAGGACCTGTCAAGTTAAGGACCCCTACTTTACCCTCATATCAGTGCGTGTGATGAAGCCCTTTCCCTCGCTGTCACAGATCTGAAAGAAGTCCTCAATTTTGTCCAACATAGCAATGTGTCCCCATCCTGTGTTCTTCTTTATACTTTTCCTTGGCTGCGGTTTTGGCTGCTTCTCATCCTGATCTGAGCCACTCCTGGTGACCTGTGTGTCTCCAATGTGTCCGATCTCTGACATGATTCCAGCGCTGCTTACCTTGACCGTCTTTGAACAGGTCAGGATACAATGTAGGCAAGAGACGTGAGAGCACAACTGGTACGTAATCCAAAGCAAGATCCAATACAAGGAATTATGCTGATTAATTCAGGAATCATCATTTATTGTCTTACTGAATGCCTGCTGTGGGTCCCAGAGAGAAACAGAGAAAGAGCAACACATCAGCAATACTTATGGTCTTTAGGAATGTTAAGACTTTGAGAAGTGAAATGCAGATTAGTCTCAGTCATCATCACTGGCACTGCTGACGTTATTGGTAAGCAGACCTGTCCCAACAGTGTCAAAGGGGAACAGGAACACAATTTTATCGTTGATCTCAAATGGAACGTGCTAAGGTTTGAAAGAGGGGGTATCTAGTAGTTTATACTTTAATTCAAGCAAGAACCAATTAACTTTTAAATGATTGACAGACAGACAAAGGTTGACAGTTGACACAATCTGTGTTCAACAATAAATAGTTGAATGTTAGTGCTCTGTTTGTGACATTAAACTAAATACATGATTGAAATACTGATTTCATAAAGCCTCAAACTAAAATTGCATAGCCTGTACAAGGCAAGTAGCTTACCTGTGTTACTCCTCCAGGTCTATGCTAAAAATGTTGGTATTAATTTGTTTAATTAAATCCAGTAAATGAGTGAATTGTGTAGAGCGTCTTTGATCGTGTTTGCTCGTACCAGACCCGCGGTCACTGATGAGGAGGAGGAATAGTTCATCTCACGGTCAGATTTAGAACAGGAAGTTTCTTTGGTGACACAAACGCGGCGCATCCTCCGACAACACACACCCGACAACACACACCACAGTATTTCACGGTTCAGATATTTTTTTACTTAATTTTTTACTTTATGAATTTTGTGACTTTTTTTTTCTTTTTGAAAATAATTTGAAGTAGTGAAATGTTTCCATTTTCATTTCTTCTAGAATTAACCATCATCTTTTATGCTAAACTAATATGAGACGGCCAAATAATCAAGATTACAGGGCAAATTTAAATGATTGTCAGTGAATGGGTGACATGTTTGTCCCCAGGACATTATAAAAATGCATGAAGAAAATCCCGCAGATTAAGCAAACTTCACAATTAAAATGTATAGGCCTAATTAAAAACATTCATAACTAACACAAAATAATAATAATAATCCTAATACAAAAAAAATAATAATACTAATAATAAACCCCCACTCATAAACGTTGCCATATAGGCTATAGGATTAAAATCCTTCATAAATCTTATTTTTGTAGGATTGTTGTGTGACTTTGAATCTGTATGCTTAAAACGGTTTTTTTAAATGAGATTTTTTTTTTTTTTCATTTTCAACAGGAAGTTGCATCTTCTGGATCGTCTTTTACTGTTATCTGAAGGCAATGGGAAGACAAGTAGGCTAAGTCCTCTTATTTTAATTTCTGTTTATGTCCTGTTCCAAATTTTAAAAAAAGTTTAATTTTGAAGTTACAACAAGCTGTGTAAAGCTGCACATTACAACATCAATGTGCAGTGAAATGAGCTCTACCACACGAAACAAGTTACTTATAAATGTTGTTATAAGTGAAGAAAAACCCTTTAATGAAATGTGCAGCACTGGAGTTTTTATAAGGTGCTTTGCTGCCATCTGCTGGACAAATACAGCACTAAACGAACATCCATTGATTTTATTTATTTTTTAAATAGTTTACCTATATGTAGATAATATTTAATTGATTTAATAAAAACACATCTGCATAGCTTAGCAACAATATAGTTTATACTATGGTGCAATAAAATTTTATTTTTAGAATAAAATAACAAAGCAGTAAATTCCACAGATAATATGCATAATTTCTCTAGAAACAATGAGATTCAAATTTTACATTTATTCAAATAATTCATGAAAAAAAAATGGTTCTACTAAGTTTTCTACAAAGTTGCAAGTGTTGAAGTGATTAGACTTACAAAAATCAGTCCCCAGTCTTGTATGTCCTGTGTGCAGCAGGTGACAGGCTTTGATGCTGAATATAACCTGCAGTATTTTTATATCAATCTCCTTTAAGTTGTGTGACTTTATCTTCATCCTGACTTATCAAATGTATGATTATATCCTCTGTGAAGTGTCTTTTCATGGTGGAGGAGGAGTCTCGTTCATCAGCGCAGATGTTCTCTTGATATATTTATGGTGAACATCAGAAATGCCTCCTCTGATTTGTCAGTGATTATGTTTGATGATTTCCTCTGTTTTGTCTAATAAGGTAACAGTGAGTGTCATTGGCAGCTGTGAGAGTCTCTCTCTCTTTAGGGGACTGACAGGAGCCAGTTTCTTCAGTGTGTGTGTGTGAGGGAGCAGAGGAGAAACTTGTGCTGCATTCTGAGCTGACGAGTGTGTGTCGAGCAGAAGAAGATGAAGAGCTTTCTCATGCTGATGTTCCTGTGCTATATGGTAAAACTCACCACCTCTGGTAAGTACATAAAGAGGTGCACTTAATTCTTTCAAATGAGCTGAAATCATTTATATGTTACATTGGTATATTTACAAGTAGTCTCCCTGTCTCTCATGTGTAGACAGTGTGAGATTGGTGAACGGCAATAGTCGCTGTGCTGGTAGAGTGGAGGTTTTTCATGATGGTCAGTGGGGAACAGTGTGTCATTGGGCCTGGGATATGCCTGATGCTGCAGTGGTTTGTAGAGAGCTGGACTGTGGAGAACCTGTAGATGCTCTGGGTGATGCTCATTTTGGACGTGGATCAGGACCAATTTCAATGGGTTTTATGCTCTGTAGTGGATCAGAGACTGCACTGAAAGACTGCACGTCAGATAGCAGATATAATATAAAATCTTACTGTGATCATAGTAGAGATGCTGGTGTCGTCTGTTCAGGTAAGCTGTCGCTCAGCTTGTTATCACATCACTCTTTCATAATCCTCACTCAAGCAATATAATGTTTCTGCATGCTGGTGAGGACAAACTTCATCAGTCGATCTTTTGAAACATGCAACGTGTTTCATTAGTTTGTTCATGATATTTTATTTTATCCCCATTCCTTATTTTCTCATAATAAAATATGATGCAGAGAATCCCCAAATAGGCCTAATGTCTTATTTTTTATTCACAGTGATGACTTGAAAATCTTATTTACATTCTTTATTTAATGAAAATTATAAAATTACAGATGTTAGATAAAATTACAGATAAAAAAGTGCAGATTAAGTGAATGAATGAAATACAAAATGTCAAAATTTAATTAAGATTTTTCTAGTGTTCCAATTGAATAGAGATGTTTAATTAATTATCTGTCTTTATAATTCAAAAGACTCAGAGCGAGGACTTCGACTTGTGGACGGGTTTCACCTGTGTTCAGGGAGAGTGGAGATGCTTCGTACAGACGGATGGAACACAGTGTGTGCCGCTGCCTTTGACCAGCAGGATGCAGAGGTTGTGTGTAGAGAGCTGGACTGTGGGGCTCCTGTACAGGTGCTGGGAGAAGATACTTTTGGCAAAGGAGACGCTCAGATGTGGACACAAGAGATTCAGTGCAGAGGAAATGAGTCTCAGATTCACCTCTGTCCAACATCACCATCACACAAACACAACTGTTCTTATGACAATAATGTGGGAGTGATTTGTTCTGGTTAAGTATAAACATTTGGCATTTATTTAGATAAATTGCATACCTAATGTACTGATGTTGTATTGCTCAATTATCTGGATTCTTTTCATGTTTAAATAAGCTGCCAGTTCTCTGCACAGGTTACACAGATCTCAGACTGATGAACGGTTCAGACTCTTGTTCTGGAAGAGTGGAGCTCCGGTTTCTAAATGAATGGGGCACAGTGTGTGATGCATGCTGGGATATGAGAGCTGCCAGTGTCCTCTGTAGACAGCTGAATTGTGGGATTGCTGTGTCTGTTGTGGGATCAGACTGGTTTGGAGAGGGAAGTGGTGAAATCTGGGCTGATGTGTTTGATTGTGACGGGAATGAAACAAAACTCTCAGAATGTCCCGTCTCTTCATGGAGTCGAGCTGAACGTTCTCATGGACGAGATGTTGGAGTCATTTGCTCTGGTGAGCAAATTCACACTGTGATGAAGTCTTTGTTTCAGATTAAAATGTAATATAGATTTTAGATAAATACTGAATTGCAAATAAATACTCTCTCCAGAGAGTGAAGCTCATCTGGGAAACTGCAGCTCTCCACACACTCTCAACTGCAGCTCCACACAACAGCTGTCAATCAAAAACTTTGGTGAGAAAATCATCATCTGCACAGCTACTTTAGTTGATGATAAATAACGCTCATGTACAAGCACTGTTTTTCTCTCTCTGAATATCAGGCCGCGGGTCCATCAGGCTGGTGGGTTCTGGGGGAGACTGTGCAGGGAGGCTGGAGGTTTTTCACAGCGGCTCATGGGGGACAGTGTGTGATGACTCCTGGGATATTAAAGATGCCCATGTGGTGTGCAGACAGCTGCAGTGTGGAGTGGCCCTCAGTAACCAGCAGGTACCAGCCTGGTTTGGTCCTGGTTCTGGACACATATGGCTGGATGAGGTGGAGTGTGAGGGGAATGAGACGTCCCTGTGGAACTGCTCTTCAGGCTGGGAGAAACATGACTGTCAACACAAGGAGGATGTAGGAGTCGTGTGCTCAGGTGAACAGTTAAATAATATCTTGACGATGGGGGTGGGGGGTTGATGGGCAGTGTAACTCTCGGTTCGGGACGCATTCTGAGCACGGCGCTCACCCTCGGACAGCACACCAAATACTGATACTCTTTTACTCTATCTAATTATTTGTGAGTGTGAACTCACACTTTGATTCACTTTGAGTGAATGAAAGGCACACATCTTACAACTACTGACTGGATATATAACAAAGTTTAAACATACCTAATTTGATCATATAGAAATCAAAACTCAATTTTTGAGAAACAAATAAACTTTTGTCCCTTGGATTTCTGTTTATATATATATATAGGCCCTAATATATATATATATATATATATATATATATATATATATATATATATATATATATAACATTTATTTCTGTAGCGGATAATACAGATAGTTTCAAAGAAGCTTTACAATTGTAACATATTCAAATTTTGTTGTAAGCACCTCTAACAAGCTAATAGTGTCACTATTCAGCTCAAGTCAGTTCAGCTCAATAACTTCAAAGTTTATTGAGTGTGCAATCACACTGTATATACAGTATTTGTGCACATACATGTTAGTGTGAGAAACTCCTGTACACTCCACTGCACACCGAACAAGTCAAGTCAAGTCAAGTCACATTTATTTATATAGCGCTTTTCACAATACAGATTGTATCAAAGCAGCTTCACAGTGATAACATGAAAGTAGTATAAAGTAGATAACAAGCAAAAGAGACAATAGACAATAGACTATATGAGGCTCAAAAGTGTGTAAACAATAATTAAAAAAAATTGTAATATAGATTTAATTGAAGTCTTTGTTTTTGCAAGAGATGTGCGATGTTTTGGATCTTGTGTCCGTGTTTTGTGGTTTAGTGTAGAGTTTAAAAAAAATAAGAGCCAAAGTTTCAGAAATTTTGTGCAAGCGATTTAAAAACAAAAGCAGTGTTTTACATATTTATACACTAATGAATGAGATATTTTTCCACAGTTTTGGTTTTAGTGTCCTCCATTTTATAAATGTAAAGTTGACACAATTATTTCACTGTATACCTTGTTATTAAAAGACAGTGATTAGACATTAAATTGTTTCTGTTTTAATGCATTGAATCACAATCTCATCCTTTTCCATCTAGAGTTTAAAGAGATCAGGTTAACTGAGGGCTGTGAAGGGAATGTGGAGGTTTTCTACAATGGATCCTGGGGTAATGTGTGTTACAACAAGATGGACAGAGACACAGCGAGTCTGATCTGTCAAGAGCTGAACTGTGGAAGATCTGGCAGTGAACCCAGTTATTCAGAGGGACTGAAGTCTCAAAACTGGCTGGATGATTTTAAATGTCGACGTCATGATTCCTCTCTATGGCAGTGTCCATCTTCACCCTGGGGACAGAATGACTGTAATGAAGTGGCCAAAATCACCTGCTCAGGTAAGATCATTTAACTGATGTAAGAAAGTTGGAAAATGACATGTTTGTTTCAGTTTGATGATTATTATTATTATGTATAATTTTTCTATTCAGTGTTGAATTCAATTTTAACATTTTAATTTTAGAGGAGCACACTCATGAAGTTCCTCGGAGTCGTCTGACATGTTCCACCTCAGAATCTCCTCACCGGAGACAGTGTTCAAGTAAGATAATTAAAATTATATATTTTATTTATTCACAGAATTATTTCTCTTTCACAGTATAGTCACACAATTAGTCACAACTTTAAATAGTCATAAAATACATTGTAAATCTATTGCTGGTCAGTGATGTTGCTGTGTGTGTGTTTTAGATCATGTTCCTCTCAGACTGAGTGGAGGTTTGGGCCGGTGCTCTGGGAGGCTGGAGGTGTATCATAACGCTGTGTGGGGTTCAGTCTGTGCTGATCTGTGGGACATCAGCGATGCTCAGGTGGTCTGCAGGCAGCTGGGTTGTGGAGACGCACTGAGGGCTGATGGGAATTCAGTGTTTGGTGCTGGTGAAGGTGTTGTGTGGATGAACAGAGTCGAGTGCAGAGGGAATGAGATTCACCTGTGGGACTGTCCTCACTCCCTGAAGAACCACACTGACTGTTCCCACAAAGATCACGCTGGACTCACATGTGCAGGTCACAGCAACACAATGAACAATAGTAGTCATCATTTTAATGCTAATAATCTTTGTGTATTTGCATGATTTTGAATGTGTTTGTGTGTGTTTTGTCAGATTTGTCAGTGTCCACTACTCCTGCCACAACAACATCAGCTTCTCGTCCAGTTTCTCAGACAGTGCGCTCAACATCAGTCACTCCTCCACAAACTCCTCCAGCAGCGTCTCTCTCTGTGCTTGTGGTTGTACTGGGAGTTTTGCTCGTACTGCTCTTAGTGCCACTGCTTATACTGGTTCAGCAGAACAGAGTGATGAGGAGAGGTAGGAGAGATCCAGAGACTGTCATAGTGTGTCTTATTCAGTGTGTGATCAGTCATGTGTTGTGAACTGACAGCAGGTTTGTCTGTCTACACACACAGATCTCTCTGACTGGTACACAGGACTACACAGGGCTCCGAGTGAGGAAGTTTATGAGGAAATTTATCACAGACACAATCAAGTCACTCATAAAGGTGAGGCATCATCAGAGATTGTTCAAAACTTTAACTGCTGCATTCTGATCAAAGGGTCCCTAAAAAGTGTTCACTTCCCAGACAGCAAACTGATATTGAATCAACGTGGAAACGACGTCTCTCATGACATTGAAAAAACGTTGATTTTGCTCATCGAATTAACGTTGAACCAACATCAGACACGGCATTCTTCAAAGCTAAATGAAAATCGAAAATTGGTTTGCTTTCATAACGTTGAAACAAAGCTTTGATTTCTAATTGATTTTCCATTAGTTTTGAAAGAATGACGCGTCTGACGTTGGTTCAACGTTAATTCGATGAGCAAAACAATGTCAGATCAACGTTGTTTCGATGTCATATTTCCACGTTGATTCAATGTCAGTTTGCTATCTGGGTTCTCACCTTTCTATTGTAACTGTTGCCTCTTGTGCACGTTCTACCAATGAACAGTCACGTACAAACCTCAACTGGGACTGATTAAATGTATTAATTATCTAGTTTTTCTTTCAATCAAACATCAAGTACTTTGGTGGTGAGGTGGAAATTTCCCTCTCCACTTCCTGTGAAGTGAAGTTGATGAACCCTTATTCCCTTTAGTATTTGAAATGAACATATTTGAACATATTTGCTCCATTTGAAATGAAATGTCACTTCAGACAGTAATACGCCATGAAGTTCACTTTGCAGGCCATATTTGATTAATTTAAATGCAACTAATTTGTTTTTAGATTATTGTGAAAACCTTGCTGAGAAAATGAACGCCATCAAGCAAAAATCTCAGTCATCTGTGTTAAAGTTTTCATCAGTGATACCGGTCAGATCCATTGTAGAATTAATCATCATTCTATCAATATCATTCACATCTAGCTAATTAGTTTTAATTATGTATCAATCCATTAAAAAAAACAAAAAAAAAAACAGAATTGCAGGTGTATGTTTTTATAAAATTATTAAGAAGATAAATTGCTCTCTGTTAACCCTCTGGGGTTGTTCATTTCAGAGTTACACTCGGGGTGTTCGGATCCAAATGGACCCAAAGGGCGGGATTCATATTTAAAAAAAAAAAAAATCATGATTTTTTTTTTTACTCGTTTTTTATAATATTTTTCTTTTTTGGTGTTTTGAGAAATTTTCAAAAATAAAAAAAATTATAATTAGTATTAATGCAATAATTATGACAAAATTTCCCCCCATTGAACATAATAGAAAAAATATAAAATATTTGTATTTCATTTTAGAGTCAAGCCTAGGCCTCATAAAAGCAATTTTTGAAATGAGATGGATGCCATCTGGTGGACAAACTGATTTAAAAAAAAAAAAAAAATTATTTAAATTCTTCGGGTCAATTTGGGCCGAACAACCCCAGAGGGTTAACAGGAGGGAGTCTCGTCTCTGAAGAACTGAATTCTGGGAATGAAGATGTTGATTCGCTTCTCTTAGACCCCATTTACACCTGGTATTAAAATGCGATCTGTATCCAGATAAATTATCCGGATAATAAAAAAACGCATGTTAATGCAAGGTTGTGATCGGATTGTGATCTGCCTGACCACATCTGGAGGTAGTCTGGCTCGCATTGTGTTCGGATCTTTACAGGTGTAAACGCAATCTGGTTGTTGAAATCGCGTATATTTTACTCCTCCCAAAAATGCTAAAAAACAAACGAGTGAGAGCGTGTTATATTTCATGTTATAGTCAGATATGACGGCGCTAGGCCTACTGCACGCATCACCGCAGATGAGCAGCTGAGCGTCTATTCATCAAGCCAACATGCAAACATCGCAAATAAAAGTGAAAGTAAGTCACAGACGCTTAACACACAATCATCTTCAAGCAAAGAAACGAAATGGTCTTACCAGTGCTGTTGCCACTCTCTTTTATTGATGTCTTTGATTTTGAAATTAGCTGATGATCAATAAAATGCAGCTCATAGCCTATCTGTTGATTTTGGTGGCGTGCAATCCATTAAATCTGCATATAACGTGGGAGTTGAAGATCGGATTTATATCCGTTTTGCAAAAACACGTTTATGTGGCCAGGTGTAAATGGAATCGGTAAGACCAGACGTATTATCCGGATAACTTATATGGATACAGATCGCATTTTAATACCAGGTGTAAATAGGGTCTTAGGTTAGAAGTGATATGCAAACTGTAAAAAAAAAAAAAAAAAAAAAAAAAAAAAAAAAATGTATAGTCAAATTCACACATTCCTGTTTGACCTGTAAGTGTGCACCCCAATATACAATGCTTAGCTCTACTGAAGATAATAGACTCTGATGTTTTGAATAGCAATGTCACACACTGGCTTTGTAAACTTGTAATTTCATTACCACATGATTAAAATCATAAAGCATTTTAATTCTGCAAATATCTTTATTATTTTATATTCATATTTTGTTCTGATGTTGAAGACAGGGGGAATGCAAACACACCCGGATACTATGAGGAAATCATCATCCATGTTCAAAAACCAGTTTGTGAGACAGGTGCGGCTTCACTATACTCTAGTTGTAGTTCTCTCTGTTATTATACACTGTACAAATTAATATATACATTCAAGTTTATTCAACTTGTAGATGACACACCAGAGGGCTGTGATGATGTCAGTACCAGTGGACAGACCTATGAAAAAAAAAAAAAACTACCTTACTAACTATTAATAAGCAGATAGTAGTTTATTGAGACAAAGGTCATTAATAGTGATATATATATATATATATATATATATATATATATATATATTATATATATACAGTATATATATATATATATATATATATATATATCACTATTATAATGATATAGTGTAATGGTGTTTTCTGGAAGAGACTAAAGAACAAAGTATTTTTATCAGCTGAAAGGCAGAATGTTTTAATTACGTTATATAGACATTATATAACAGTTTCAGGTTATGCTTTAGTGTTGGTAACATGTCCCACATTGTTCCACACAAACGTAGTAATCGTCCCACATTTGGTTTGTTTGATGGTGGTCACCCTAAAGCAGAATGGTTGAGAGTGAGAGACCCATTGTTTTGCATGTCGTTCAGCCATACATGTTTGAATCGGAATATATAAATCTCTGATCAGACCCAGATGACGAAGAGACTCCGGCATAATAAACACAAATGAGAATGGACCAGAATGGTTATTTGATACATTTATGTTTATAGAGTTGTAATCGCGTCCCCTTTGCAATTATGGATGTGCAAAACACACACAGAGACACACACAAACACTAACGTTGGCGCAACTACAAACACATACTGTGATCAAGTTTGCTACGTACAAGCGAAATTACATTTATGCGAGGGACCTGTTGCGTCATGTTTACATTACTTGTCATACAAGTGCTTTTGTGGCAAATATGAGAAGATGGCTACAGAAAATATATGCAGAGGATGTGTCAGGCGGCTCTGAGATGAAGGTACAGCCGAACTAACAATGAAACGTAGATATTCGTCTCAGTTCAGCTCAAACCTCCAAAAAAAAAAAAAATAATAACATTGACATCACCAATGCCAATCGCTGTAAGCCATCACTTCTCTGACTGCTTGTTTTGATTCACAAGACCAAAAATGAGAAGAAATGGCGAATCAGAAGTGAACAGTGTCATGACTGCAGAGATTTCCAAGGCTGTTGAGTTTAATCCCGAAATGCAAAGAAAAGTGCATAGAAACGAGAAAATCACTCCTGGCCTGGGTTTAATAACATTGCACAAAGACCTGGAGAGCAGAACATAAATGTTATTGAATTTCGAGAATATAATTATTTGGTTAAACCTTGAGTGGCTTTAAATGTTTTGCTTTTGGTTTAGTGCCTTCAGCTCTGTGTTGTAGATTGGGTTCACTTTCTTCACAAATGTGACTGATTTACTCAAACTATTAACAAAATACCTTTGACATGATACATATATGATGAAGTAACATTTGTCCTGTTTATATCTTCATGTATGTGCAGTGGACACACCAGAGGATTATGATGATGTCATTATTATTGGACAGAATGCTATAGATGTCACAGGTGAGTCACATGCATTTATTCCATTAATGAATCATGAGTTTATCAGGAGTAAATCTAATAATCTCAGACAGTCATGAGGTGAAAGAAATCAAACACATCATCTGTGACACAAGCTGATTTACAAATTATATTGCATGTATTATGGTTTTATAATTATTTTATAATTATAATGGTTTTATTTCTCATGTGAATCAGAGGGAGATCAGGAGGAGTATGATGATGTGAAGAACAGCAATGAAGATAACAGAAACCTGTAGGGTAGGTTATTGTAATATTTCTATAACCTATATCTGTTTTTATTGGTTATGTTGCTTATTAAACAAAATATTGATGTATTTATCACAATGAAAAATATGAATTTGCTTTTGTTTTTAAAAATAGATTATCATGATGTGAGGGAGGGGTCAAATAAAGAGGGAGGAGCCATGTGACTTTTTGACCACACCCACTTCATGTTCGTCAAATCATATTACAGTAACTGGAGCACTGGGAGATTATTATGTTGTTTCTAATGCATCAGTGCCTTGCATTAGAAATATTCAGTCTTCAGTATTTGGCCTGTTATTTTTATTTTTATATCAGTGCATACTCAAAAGATATGTTTTTTAATCAATTCATTAATTTTTATGAACTTTATTAATTAATATTGTTTTAAAGAGCATTTGGAGGATATTGGACAAAAGGTAAATGTATTTTTAGGCAAATTACAGTATTTTAGGCAGTTGACCGCACTATCCAATGACAATTCCCAATGCAATTGAAATTAAATTTTGAGCGATGACAATAAAAAGGTATGCAAATATAATTGTGAGTATAATTTTAGTCATCAATAAAAATAAAAAATAAAAACAATAAAAAAATGTGTTAAACACATTGAAACACCGATCTCAACTGCACAGTTGTTCCATTTTAAATTTAAAATATGTTAAATGATTTGAAACAGTTTTTTAGTCTTATTTTGTGGTTGTGAATATTTTGCATTAGCTTATTCTGCAGGCTGAGGTTGGACTGAACATTCTTGGGTTTTTTCTTTTTCAACAACTTTTCAAAAATGAATTTACTCAGACAGGCATAATAAAACATGCATCAATCATTTGCCAAATAATTTAAAGGGTGCTTATGTTTACATTACATTCATTAAGACAAGGTAAACTTATAAATATATTCCATCTTTTCTTCTTATATAATGGAAAGAGTAAACTATATACCTCAATATGAGGAGGGGGTGGGGGATTATGAGAATTACATGACACTGAAACAATTTTGGTCTGAGAACATTTTATTGTAAAGGATGTATTTTTTAAGTTCTTTCAAAAATCAAAAAAGAGGTTTAGCAAGATATTTATATGAATGTGGAATTTAGCGAGTACAAGATCAGATTAATCTATTTTTGATTAATTAAATTATTAATTTTATTGGTTGAAGCAAAACACCATTTGTCAACAGGAGTATTGACCAAACCTGGAAGTAGATTGAGCAACTCTCAATAAATCAAGAACACCTGATGATGGGATTGAACCCCTCAAACATGGGCTATTTTTCTCATAAAATAAATGAATAAATAAAAATCAAAGTTTTTATCCTATAAAATAAAAGATAACACATTTGCTTGCTGTGAAAAGCAAAATTGAAAAAAGAAAAGAAAAAAAATGTCAGTCAAACAAGAGATAGTGAATAAAGAATGAAAGGGTCCACCACTTAGTAAAGGGTAAGAGTGGAGACAAGCCGGCCAGGAACTAGATTTCTTTGTATTTGGCCAGGGCATGATGTGTTCCAAAATCCTTGAAAAAAAGAGTGAAAGGTGTTGTGTGTCACGGTGCGGGTTCAGGTAGAAGGACAGGCTGAGTCCAAAACTCGATAAACAGACATTTAATTCCAAATTCAGGCAGGAAGACAGGGTACAGAGCGTAACATTCAACATTGACCGACAAGGACAGAATGAAACAGAGGAAACTAAATACACAGAGGAATCAGGGTTGATCGGGGTGAACACAGGTGAAAATGATCATGACAGGACGAGGAACAGGTGGCTGATTGGGGAAGTGAGTCCGGGAGAGGAACAAAAGGATCCGGGGAAGTGTGGTGCAGATGACGGGACCAAACAGGTGAGGACGACAGACTGTGACATTACTCCCCCCTCCCGGAAGGCGTGGCCTCACGCCATAACATCAATGGGGAGGGGGGGGGGGCACCCTGGAGGCTGTGGAGGGCGTCGTCAGGAGGAGACAGCCCCCCAGGGCGGAGCAGGATGGAGGGAGGACCCCTGGTGGAGCCGATGGTAGTGGGGCTGGCAACACCAGGGGGCCGACTGACAGGGGCGGAGCGGATGGGAGAGGAGACCAGGGTGTAGCTGAGGGACCGACGATGATGGGTGCTGAGGAGGGACCGAGGGAGCAAGGGGCCACCGCAGGCTCTGGTGAACGAAGTGCTGACAGGGGCACAGAGGGACACGGTGAGGTCAGAGTGCGTGAGGGCTGACGGGTGACTGGAGGGAGTGAGGAGTCCAACTGAACCGGGGGGGTGACATGACGGGGCGGAGCCAAGGGAAGGAAGTCCAAAGGTGAAGGGAGGATGACGAGGGAGTGCAGGGAGTTCGGAGGGACGAGGGAGCCTGGCCGAGCTGGTGGACTGTGGGACCATGGAGGAGCTGAGGGAGGTAGGAGCCACGGGGGAGCTGATGGGACAGAGGGCCGAGGAAGTGTCTCAGAGGAGGAGGTGTGAAGCGCAGACCGGGGATCCAAGGACCAGGCTGGGTCAGGGGAGCTGGAGGGCAGGAGAGCAGAGGGAGAACAGATGAGAGGAGGCGGGAGAGGGAGGCTGGGTGGGATCCTGGTCTCGGGCTCTGGCTCGGGCTGGACGGTCTCGGGCTCTGGCTCTGGCTGGACGGTCTCGGGCTCTGGCTCTGGCTGGACGGTCTCGGGCTCTGGCTCTGGCTGGACGGTCTCGGGCTCTGGCTCTGGCTGGACGGGCTCTGGCTCTGGCTGGACGGTCTCGGCTCTGGCTCTGGCTGGACGGTCTCGGGCTCTGGCTCTGGCTGGACGGTCTCGGGCTCTGGCTCTGGCTGGACGGTCTCGGGCTCTGGCTCTGGCTGGACGGTCTCGGGCTCTGGCTCTGGCTGGACGGTCTCGGGCTCTGGCTCTGGCTGGACGGTCTCGGGCTCTGGCTCTGGCGGGACGGTCTCGGGCTCTGGCTCTGGCGGGACGGTCTCGGGCTCTGGCTCTGGCTGGACGGTCTCGGGCTCTGGCTCTGGCTGGACGGTCTCGGGCTCTGGCTCTGGCTGGACGGTCTCGGGCTCTGGCTCTGGCTGGACGGTCTCGGGCTCTGGCTCTGGCTGGACGGTCTCGGGCTCTGGCTCTGGCTGGACGGTCTCGGGCTCTGGCTGGACGGGGCTGGACGGAACCAGGAAGGCGTTGAGGGCTGGTGGGGTGAAGATGGTGTGTGTGTGTGGTTGAGTGGTGCTGTTATCTTCAGCCTCACCAACGGTGAAGGCTGACCCACTCAACCACAACACATGGTCCAGGTACCAGGAGAGGGTTCCTGGAAACGCAGCTGCTGGGGCTTGCTGGTACAGATGATTATCCAAACCCAGCCAAAAGACAGTTTTTAAGACATCATCTGACCAGCTTACCCCAGCAGAGAGTTCCAGGAAACTGGTGACGTACTCCTCAATAGGGTGTCCATCTTGGAACACGTTGAACAGCGTTTGAGCTGGGGTGAGGAGAATACCCATGCTGAAACTTCTTTGGTCGGTCAATCTGTCACGGGGCCGGTGGAGTGTAGGCAGAAGAAGGAGAACAAGAGGCGAATGCTCCAATGCAAACACTTTAATTTCACTCAGAATAGCCAACAGGAACGGGTACAGGCAGGAAACACTCACGACACGGAAGGGTAACATCAACATTGACCGACAAGGACAGAATGAAACAGAGGAAACTAAATACACAGAGGAATCAGGGTTGATCGGGGTGAACACAGGTGAAAATGATCATGACAGGACGAGGAACAGGTGGCTGATTGGGGAAGTGAGTCCGGGAGAGGAACAAAAGGATCCGGGGAAGTGTGGTGCAGATGACGGGACCAAACAGGTGAGGACGACAGACTGTGACATTGTGAGTGGATGCATGCCTCTGGCAGAAAGCCTTGTTTGTCATAGTCTATTTTTTTTTTTTTGAGAAATAGCTTTTGAATATTCAACAAGAGGGTAACAAACACCACTTTAATTTACAGCCCACAATGCCACACTATACCCTGTAACTAACTACATAGAACAAGAGGGTAACAAACATGAAACAAGAGTATCTTTCCCGAATATTTAAGCAAAAGTTGCAGTAGTTTTCATTTACAGTGCACTTTTGTTGAAAAGATTATTTATAAATGCATAGATATGTACCCTGTAATTTTTTAAAAGCTTATACAGTATGTATTGGTACACAATTATTTCAAAAAGGTACGCAGTGTAAGTTCATGCTAAATTGCTCCCAAATTTGTTATATCATAATAATAAGTACCCCTTAGTTCTATAATACTATATATATATATATATATATATATATATATATATATATATATATACGTATATATATATATACGTATATATATACGTATATATATATATATATATATATATATATATATATATATATATATATATATATATAATTTCATTAAAATATCTGATTCAAACAAACTGTTAGGCATGAGCACAGTCTTGCACAATCCAACTCTCACCACCATAGACGCCCTATTGGCCGCTGGAGCGTATGTCAACGGCGCCGCCATATTGGGGACAGCAACTTTCCCATACCTCTCATACCGGGAATTGAGAAAAATGCCTGTTTGTGTGCTGCTTGGGGCTGGACAAATCGTCACACAACTGAAAACAGCTTTCGAGGAAGCACCTTTCACAAGTAAGACTGAACGTTTGATTTTGGTTGTATTTGGTCATGATTTAATTAGTAAGTAACGTTTATAGATTAAATACTACTGTTATTGTGTCACGCAATGTAGTTTTAATAGTTTTTCAGTCGACAATGTAGTTGTTTAAAGCTCAAATATGTGGTTTGTTTATAAAGATAGAGCCTATTTAAAAATTTGATCTGAAGTTTTCGGAGTTGTAACTGCGCCCCCGCCGAGCGCTCGTCCCCCGCCTGGAACAGCCGTACCACGGCCAGTGCTTCTGACGGTTGCCGCTGGCTCGGATGTCTCTAGTCTAGAGGTTAAACATGAGATATAATTCGTATGATTTGTGTTTATCTTTGGTCTCATTAATCTATAAATGGTTCCCTGGTAAATAGTTTTGGCTGAGGGCAAAGTAAAGTTTCATAACTTTATAATTAGGCTGTATGTATCCTGCTGCATGTTTGACTGAAGCTACTTCTGTTGTTGGTTAGCCTATTACTGATCAATAAAACTGAAATTTAACACAAAGAGCTAAATTAAATATATTTTTTGTGTGTGTTTATTCTGTAGTTGAAATGTCTTATTCTATTGCTATTATTATAGAATTATTAATAAACTATTATCAATATTTTTACATGTATTCATTACCATTTTATTTGCTGTATACTATTTGTTTATTTTATTGACTAAACTATTTACTATTACTTTTCACTTTATGTTATAATTACTATTTGCATTGCACTGTATGCCCAGTTGTACCACAACATAGGCTATTATCATAAAGGATCCATCAGTTATCAATGTTATTGCTAAAATCTGGTCAATCACATAAAATGCTTTTTCCACAATGAGCAAACTTAAATATCTCAGTATGGGGATCTTCACCATTCTTATCCAAGAATGTTTTTATCCAGAAAAACGCAGCTCACCCGTTTACTTTCATTTAATTACAATGCAGTCTTGACCTCCGCAAAATGGCGGACCCGCATTGACGTATCGCAGCAACGTTCCAAAGCGGCCAATAGGGCGTCTATGTATATATTATGCTCTTTTCTGCTTCTCTTTATAATGAGTGTTTTGCTTTCCTCTGCTGGAAGAATTATGCATTGCAATATTAAACACAGCTACAAATGTGTTGAATATTAAGGCATATGAATATAGGTGGAAAAGAAAGCAATGTTTATTTACAGATGTGATAAAGAAACTTGTCTGTTTATTGCACACAACCATTCCAGTTTATTTAATAATTTATTAACTACTGTTAAGTGTGCTATTGGTTAGAACATAATAACAGTATAGTAAAATACACTTGATATTATACACATTTGATCAAAAATCAACTTTAAAATCTTCAGTTTAATATGATTTATATATTTATAACAAAGATCAAGTATTTTGTGTGTGAACTGAAGCTTCAGTAGTGAGCAGTCAGTCATCAGGTGTGTAAGTTGTGTGTGTAGATACAGGCTTTGATGCTGAATATAACCTGCAGTGTTTCTCTATCAATCTCCTGTAAGTTTAGTGTGACTTTCTCTCCACGCTGACACATGACTGACACGAGTCTGTCCTCAGTGAAGTGTCTCTTCACACTGGAGGAGGAGTCCCGCTCATCAGCGCTCACACTTTATTGATATATATGGAGAAAATAAAAATGCTGCTTTGTGATTTGTCAGTGATTATGTTTGATGATTTCCTCTGTTGTGTCTAATAAGGTAACAGTGAGTGTCATTGGCAGCTGTGAGAGTCTCTCTCTCTTTAGGGGACTGACAGGAGCCAGTTTCTTCAGTGTGTGTGTGTGTGTGAGGGAGCAGAGGAGAAACAGAGTCAGACAAACAGTGTGACGAGCAGAAGAAGATGGAGGGATTTCTGACACTCGTTTTACTCTCCTCTATAGTCACTATAAACACATCTGGTAAGTACAACCAGGTTTGTCTATGATGGCATTAGACCGCCAGAAACTGAAGCAGAAAATTACAAATAGAAGCATTATAATATCTAGAAACTTTAGATCTTGTGACACTATATCATTAATTATCAATTAGATTTTAGAAATGATTTGAGCTTTTACAGGAAACCAATTTGTTATACACTCGTGCCCAGCTTTAAAATATTACATTTATATTTAACTTTTACATCTTATGTTTCTTGACTTTGGATGATTCGATCCCTTTCTCTCTGTCATGTACAGATTTTGAGACTGTGAGGTTGGTTGGTGGGAACAGTCCGTGTGCTGGTAGAGTGGAGGTTCATCATGATGGTCAGTGGGGAACAGTGTGTGATTACAACTGGGATAAGACTGATGCTGGAGTGGTGTGTAGAGAGATAGGATGTGGAGAGGCTGTAGAGGCTGTGGGTAGTGCTCACTTTGGACCAGGATCAGGACCAATCTGGATGGATGATGTGAGCTGTAGTGGATCAGAGTCAACACTGAAGAACTGTAGATCAAGAGGATGGGGTGTTCATAACTGTGGTCATCATGAAGATGCTGGAGTCAGATGCACTGGTGAGCATCTCCATACATCACTCTATTAATGCATCACTGATCAGACTTTCATTGATGAACATAAATTTTAAATAATTGAATGTATTTTTTTGTTAGAGCAATTCATAAGCAGCTAATTGCTGAATAGTATATTTTATTGTCTTTACAACTCAATTTTATCTATTTATAAAATATATTACTAATAAAAGGACTGCTGTTTTATTTCCATATCATAATCATAGAAACAGATGGTCTTCTGTTTTGTGTAAATATATTCAGAAACAATAAACTTCGGAAGGTCAAGACTTGTGGACGGGTCTCACCTGTGTTCTGGGAGAGTGGAGATGTATTGTGGAGGACGATGGGGTTCGGTGTGTGACGCTGCCTTTGACCAGCAGGATGCAGAGGTTGTGTGTAGAGAGCTGGACTGTGGGGCTCCTGTACAGGTGCTGGGAGAAGATGCTTTTGGAAAAGGAGACGCTCAGATGTGGACTCAAGAGATTCAGTGCAGAGGAAATGAAACACACATTCAACACTGTTCATCATCGACCTCACATAACATAAACTGCACCCATGACAACGACGTGGGACTGATATGTTCTGGTAAAATGTCAATGTTCAGATTTTCTATAGAGAAATCAAATTGTCAACTAAAATGTAATTATTTTATTGGTTTCTTCTTAGTTTGATCAGTTTCAGTAAGCTCTGTGTTCTTTGTCCAGGTTACACTGACCTCAGACTGGTCAATGGTCCTGACATCTGTTCTGGTCGAGTTGAACGTCAGTTCCTCAGTAAATGGGGCACAGTGTGTGATGCATGCTGGGATATGAGAGCTGCCAGTGTCCTCTGTAGACAGCTGAATTGTGGGATTGCTGTGTCTGTTGTGGGATCAGACTGGTTTGGAGAGGGAAGTGGTGAAATCTGGGCTGATGTGTTTGATTGTGACGGGAATGAAACAAAACTCTCAGAATGTTCCGTCTCTTCATGGAGTCGAACTGAATGTTCTCATGGACGAGATGTTGGAGTCATTTGCTCTAGTGAGGGAATTTCATTGGAAAAAGTTATAAATTACCTATATAAATCTTGCAATATCTTAATAAAATGCCACGTCTTTCCCTCAGATTCCTCTCTGTCTGTTCATGACGGTCTGGTGCGGTTGTCTGGAGAGAGACAGTGTGAGGGGGAGCTGGAAGTTTCCATCCATCAGGTCTGGAGGAGAGTTCTGCTGGACTCCTGGAGTCTCACTGAATCCTCTGTGGTCTGCAGACAGCTGGGCTGTGGCTCTGTGCTGAACTTCTCCGGCTCCTCTTCATCCAGTCCTGAACACAGTCATGAGTGTGTGACGGGCTTCCAGTGCTCTGGGAGTGAAGCTCATCTGGGGAACTGCAGCTCTCCACAAACTCTCAACTGCAGCTCCACACAACAGCTGTCAATCTCCTGCCTTGGTGAGCACAACAACATCTGGGCAGATTCTTCAGTTGTTGGTGATCAATAATGTGTTTTTCTCTCTCTGAATATCAGGCCGCGGGTCCATCAGGCTGGTGGGTTCTGGGGGAGACTGTGCAGGGAGGCTGGAGGTTTTTCACAGCGGCTCATGGGGGACAGTGTGTGATGACTCCTGGGATATTAAAGATGCCCATGTGGTGTGCAGACAGCTGCAGTGTGGAGTGGCCCTCAGTAACCAGCAGGTACCAGCCTGGTTTGGTCCTGGTTCTGGACACATATGGCTGGATGAGGTGGAGTGTGAGGGGAATGAGACGTCCCTGTGGAACTGCTCTTCTCCAGGCTGGGAGAAACATGACTGTCAACACAAGGAGGATGTAGGAGTCGTGTGCTCAGGTGAACAGTAAAGTAATGCGATTGATTTTTAAATATAATTTCAAATGTTTAAAGGAATAATGTACAGATGGTAATTTTTGCTAAATAAACACCAGGATAATCAGGAGCGGATGGGTCATATTTAGCAACAAAGACCATCTTACTGTATTGACATGATGCCGCTACTTTTTAAATATTTTTTATTGACCAAGCAGAATCAAGTAGTACATAATTATATTTTTTTATAATATATTATGCATCTTAAGTATCTTTTTCAGATGCTATCACTGCTAGCAGCATGCATTAGCCGTATCAACCAGTTATTTTGGTGATATTTTAAATCCTTTTCCATCTAGAGTTTAAAGAGATCAGGTTAACTGAGGGCTGTGAAGGGAATGTGGAGGTTTTCTACAATGGATCCTGGGGTAATGTGTGCTGGAACCAGATGAACTCAGACACAGCGAGTTTGATCTGTCAAGAGCTGAACTGTGGAAGATCTGGTGTTGTGTCTGATTCTACACCAAGACTGGAATCAGCTCGTAACTGGCTGGATGAAGTGAAATGTCGACCACATGATTCAAATCTGTGGCAGTGTCCATCTTCACCCTGGGGACAGAATGATTGTAGTAATGATGAAGTGGCCAAAGTCACCTGCTCAGGTGAGATTGAATAAATAATGTAAGATGGTTTCACTGGTTATGTTTCTTTGAACACAACGTTTGTATATAATGTGGTGACTAAACTGTTTCTGAAAGACTAAGCTAATTGGATGGACAGAGCCTAAAATGATTAATGAGGCTTAAATTATGTTTTTACATTGATAAGTTTTATTGAGAGACATTATGATTTTTGTGTCCTAATGTTCAATCCTCTTAATATTTAATCTCAGAGAAGGAGAATCCTGAATCTCCTCGGAGTCGTCTGAAATGTTCCACCTCACCATCTCCTCACCAGAGACAGTGTTCAAGTAAGATTTTTAATTTAAGACTGTTTTCTATTAAAATGTGCATTTAAACAAGAATTTATTTACATTTACAAATCGTAAGCAAATTCATAAATGTAATCCACTAATCATACATTTAAAGCCGTCTTAGTTAAGTTTCTGTGTTTTGTTGTAAATGTGCTGAAGGCAGTCAGTGATGTTGCTGTGTGTGTTTTAGAGCATGTTCCTCTCAGACTGAGTGGAGGTTTGGGCCGGTGCTCTGGGAGGCTGGAGGTGTATCATAACGCTGTGTGGGGTTCAGTCTGTGCTGATCTGTGGGACATCAGCGATGCTCAGGTGGTCTGCAGGCAGCTGGGTTGTGGAGACGCACTGAGGGCTGATGGGAATTCAGTCTTTGGTGCTGGTGAAGGTGTTGTGTGGATGAACAGAGTCGAGTGCAGAGGGAATGAGATTCACCTGTGGGACTGTCCTCACTCCCTGAAGAACCACACTGACTGTTCCCACAAAGATCACGCTGGACTCACATGTGCAGGTCACAGCAACACACTGAACAATAGTAGTCATCATTTTATGCTAATAATCGTTGTGTATTTGCATGATTTTGAATGTGTTTGTGTGTGTTTTGTCAGATTTGTCAGTGTCCACTACTCCTGCCATAAAAACATCAGCTTCTCGTCCAGTTTCTCAGACAGTGCGCTCAACATCAGTCACTCCTCCACAAACTTCTCCAGCAGCGTCTCTCTCTGTGCTTGTGGTTGTACTGGGAGTTTTGCTCGTACTGCTCTTAGTGCCACTGCTTATACTGGTTCAGCAGAACAGAGTGATGAGGAGAGGTAGGAGAGATCCAGAGACTGTCATAGTGTGTCTTATTCAGTGTGTGATCAGTCATGTGTTGTGAACTGACAGCAGGTTTGTCTGTCTACACACACAGATCTCTCTAAGAGGAGACACAAGACGACGACTGACGCCGTTTATGAGGAGATTCATCACAGACACAATCACTTCACTCAGAGAGGTGAGACATGACACATGAAAATTATCTAATATGATTAATAAAGAGTCTGTCAGACACTTGATGTTCATCTATTATTAGTCCCGTTAAACCTCCGGCTTTAAACCAGAGAATTCCTCTCAGAAAACCACAGAGCTGCAGGTGCATGTTTATGTGTGTGTGTCAGTGAGTGTTTCTTCCTGTGTGTATTGAGGGTAATAAGGAAGGGTTCATATGTCTGTTAGTCTAGGTGTAGACAGGTGCCGGTGTGTGTGTGTGGATATGTCTGTTTTGCACTCTTTATGTTTTATAGATTCACTCCTTCACTGTTGTGTGCTTTTTTTCAAGATCGTGGCTGATTTGTAGATTGTACGCACAAAAAAAACGGTCACATCACATCCATCCCGTCCACAATTTTTTGGGGTGTTCAAATACCAAATACCAACAAAGTCACCAAATTTCGGACCATTCCGAGGAAGCTGTGATTTTTAAAAAAATTTTTATTTAAATTCTTCGGGTCCATTTGGGCCGAACAACCCCAGAGGGTTAACAGGAGGGAGTCTCGTCTCTGAAGAACTGAATTCTGGGAATGAAGATGTTGATTCGCTTCTCTTAGACCCCATTACACCTGGTATTAAAATGCGATCAGTATCCAGATAAATTATCCGGATAATAAAAAAACGCATGTTAATGCAAGGTCTAAATACGTTGTGATCGGATCTGCCTTACCACATCTGGAGGTAGTCTGGCTCGCATTGTGTCCAGATCTTTACTAGGTGTAAACGCAATCTGGTTGTTGAAATCACGTATATTTTACTCCTCCCAAAAATGCTAAAAAACAAACGAGTGAGAGCGTGTTATATGTCATGTTATAGTCAGATATGACGGCGCTAGGCCTACTGCACGCATCACCGCAGATGAGCAGCTGAGCGTCTATTCATCAAGCCAACATGCAAACATCGCAAATAAAAGTGAAAGTAAGTCACAGACGCTTAACACACAATCATCCTCAAGCAAAGAAACGAAATGATCTTACCAGTGCTGTTGCCACTCTCTTTTATTGATGTCTTTGATTTTGAAATTAGCTGATGATCAATAAAATGCAGCTCATAGCCTATCTGTTGCTTTTGGTGGCGTGCAATCCATTAAATCTGCATATAACGCGTTATCCGGATAACTTATATGGATACAGATCGCATTTTAATACCAGGTGTAAATGGGGTCTTAGGTTAGAAGTGATATGCAAACTGTAAAAAAAAAAAAAAGAAAAAAGAAAAAATGTATAGTCAAATTCACACATTCCTGTTTGACCTGTGAGTGTGCACCCCAATATACAATGCTTAGCTCTACTGAAGATAATAGACTCTGATGTTTTGAATAGCAATATCACACACTGGCTTTGTAAACTTGTAATTTCATTACCAGATGATTAAAATCATAAAGCATTTTAATTCTGCAAATATCTTTATTATTTTATATTCATATTTTGTTCTGATGGTGAATGCAAACACATCCGGATACTGTGATGATCATTCATGTTCCAAAACCAGTTTGTGAGACAGGTGCGGCTTCACTTCTAGTTGTAGGCTAGTTCTCTCTGTTATTATACACTGTACAAATTAATATATACATTCAAGTTTATTCAACTTGTAGATGACACACCAGAGGGCTATGATGATGTCATTACCAGTGGTCAGACCTATGAAAAAAAAAAAAACTACCTTACTAACTATTAATAAGCAGAAAGTAGTTTATTGAGACAAAGGTCATTAATAGTGATATATAAATATATATAAATATATATAAATTCCCAATGAAGACATGTTGTGATGTAATGGTGTTTTCTGGAAGAGACTAAAGAACAAAGTATTTTTATCAGCTGAAAGGCAGAATGTTTTTATTACGTTATATAGACATTATATAACAGTTTCAGGTTATGCTTTAGTGTTGGTAACATGTCCCACATTGTTCCACACAAACGTAGTAATCGTCCCACATTTGGTTTGTTTGATGGTGGTCACCCTAAAGCAGAATGGTTGAGAGTGAGAGACCCATTGTTTTGTATGTCGTTCAGCCGTACATGTTTGAATCGGAATATATAAATCTCTGATCAGACCCAGATGACGAAGAGACTCCGGCAGAATAAACACAAATGAGAATGGACCAGAATGGTTATTTGATACATTTATGTTTATAGAGTTGTAATCGCGTCCCCTTTGCAATTATGGATGTGCAAAACACACACAGAGACACACACAAACACTAACTTTGGCGCAATTTTTTGAAACTACAAACACATACTGTGATAAAGTTTGCTACGTACAAGCGAAATTACATTTATGCGAGGGACCTGTTGCGTCATGTTTACATTACTTGTCATACAAGTGCTTTTGTGGCAAATATGAGAAGATGGCTACAGAAAATATATGCGGATGTGTCAGGCGGCTCTGAGATGAAGGTACAGCCGAACTAACAATGAAACGTAGATATTCGTCTCAGTTCAGCTCAAACCTCCAAAAAAAAAAAAAAAATAACAGTGACTTCACCAATGCCAATCGCTGTAAGCCATCACTTCTCTGACTGCTTGTTTTGATTCACAAGACCAAAAATGAGAAGAAATGGCGAATCAGAAGTGAACAGTGTCATGACTGCAGAGATTTCCAAGGCTGTTGAGTTTAATCCCGAAATGCAAAGAAAAGTGCATAGAAACGAGAAAATCACTCCTGGCCTGGGTTTAACAACATTGCACAAAGACCTGGAGAGCAGAACATAAATGTTATTGAATTTGAGAATATAATTATTTGGTTAAACCTTGAGTGGCTTTAAATGTTTTGCTTTTGGTTTAGTGCCTTCAGCTCTGTGTTGTAGATTGGGTGGAGTTCACTTTCTTCACAAATGTGACTGATTTACTCAAACTATTAACAAAATACATTTGACATGATACATATATGATGAAGTAACATTTGTCCTGTTTATATCTTCATGTATGTGCAGTGGACACACCAGAGGATTATGATGATGTCATTATTATTGGACAGAATGCTATAGATGTCACAGGTGAGTCACATGCATTTATTCCATTAATGAATCATGAGTTTATCAGGAGTAAATCTAATAATCTCAGACAGTCATGAGGTGAAAGAAATCAAACACATCATCTGTGACACAAGCTGATTTACAAATTATAATGTATTATGGTTTTATAATTATTTTATAATTATAATGGTTTTATTTCTCATGTGAATCAGAGGGAGATCAGGAGGAGTATGATGATGTGAAGAACAGCAATGAAGATAACAGAAACCTGTAGGGTAGGTTATTGTAATATTTCTATAACCTATATCTGTTTTTATTGGTTATGTTGCTTATTAAACAAAATATTGATGCATTTATCACAATGAAAAATATGAATTTGCTTTTGTTTTTAAAAATAGATTATCATGATGTGAGGGAGGGGTCAAATAAAGAGGAAGGAGCCATGTGACGTATTGACCACACCCACTTCATGTTCGTCAAATCATATTACAGTAACTGGAGCACTGGGAGATTATTATGTTGTTTCTAATGCATCAGTGCCTTGCATTAGAAATATTCAGTCTTCAGTATTTGGCCTGTTATTTTTATTTTGATATCAGTGCATACTCAAAAGATATGTTTTTTAATCAATTCATTAATTGTTATGAACTTTGTTAATTAATATTGTTTTAAAGAGCATTTGGAGGATATTGGACAAAAGGTAAATGTATTTTTTAGGCAAATTACATTATTTTAGGCAGTTGACAGCACTATGACAATTCCCAATGCAATTGAAATTAAATTTTGAGCGATGATAACAAAAAGGTATGCAAATATATTTGTGAGTATAATTTTGGTCATCAATAAAAATAAAGGTAACACTTTCCAATAAGGTTCATTAGTTAACATTAGTTAACTTCATTAGTTAACATGTACAATATGTGAACAATACTTCTTCAGCATTTATTAATCTTAGTTAATATTAATTCCAACATTTACTAATACGTTATTAAAATCAAAGGTTGTATTAGTTAACATTAGTTAATGGACTGTGAACTAACATGTATGCACAATGAACAGCTGTATTTGTATTAACTAACATTAACAAAGATTAATAAACACTGTAACTAATGCATTGCTCATCGTTAGTTCATGTTAGTTAATGCATTTACTAATGTTAACTAATGAACCTTATTGTAAAGTGTTACCAAAATGAAAAATAAAAACAATAAAAAAATGTTTTAAAAAACACATTGAAACACCGACCTCAACTTGTCACGGGTGTGGAGCAGGCAGAAGGAACTGGAGGACTCCAGAGTCACAATGAAGATATATTTAATACAAAAATACAGGCAGGAAGACGGGGTACACCGGGTAACATTCAACATTGACCGACAAAGACA